CCCCCCCCCCTCTTTTCAGTACTTTGTTGACCTAACAATATGTATTTGAATGATTGATATGTTGATGGTACAGACAGGGAACAATAACAATTTATTGGAACAACAAACAAGTTAGTTCTTGGAGTTGAAGTAGTCGGTAAGGATGGCGCGTCCTTGCTCTTCATTTCCCCAGCTGGTGACAACAGCGGAGGAGCATCCGACGACCTTGCGGGCCTTTCCTTCCTTATCGTACTTGCAGAGTCCGCAATACTCTCCGATGATCTTCTTATCGGCGACCTTGATGAGTGGGATCTGGTGCTCGGCGCAGAGGGTCTCGACGAGCTTGACGTATTGCTCCTCGTCGCAGTTCTCGGCGAGAACGCAGAAGTGAGCCTCACGCCTGAAAATTGTTCGTAGATCTTTGGAACTCATACAGCATAAAGCCAGTACACGTGTGGCAGAGGAACAATCATTATACCACCTATTTGTATCACAAAGTAACTACAACTTATGATTTCTAGATAACAAGTGGAACTAATCAGAATATCACTAGGGTTCAATCAAAACTCACTTGTCAAGAGCCTTGCAGGTCTCGTGGAGTCCCTTAGCGAGTCCATCGGCGTGATGGGCGGCACGAAGGACTGCTCTCAAGGCCTGTTCCTTGTCCATTGGTCCCTGGGCGATGGCGGCTGGAGCCACTTGAACATCTCTGTAAATGAAAGATTTAGAATCATTCAATTTCCATTTTCTGATGCATGTAACAGTATTTTCTAATGAATTGTTCGAACAACTTTGGAACCGATACAGCTTCAAGGCCAGTACCCGTGTGGCAGTAGAACGGTTTATATCGCACACTACGACTAGAAAATATCGACTTCGAAATTCTCCGTATTTATGTGCTGAAGTTTGAAACAGAAAATACGTACCCTCCTGCGTCAGACATTGTTGTTGCTAGCAAGAGTCCTTGATGTTTACCTGTAAACTGAAGAATATTAGAAAGTCCGAAAAATAGTTTCAATTTCTAAGACAACGAAAAAATTTTCAAAAAATGGGAAAAAAAACTGGAAAATCATAGAAAATTACAAGCACCAGTACATCCGCTGCGTATCCTGTTAAACCATACGAACGAGTCGCTACTCAGCGAAAACACCACGGAGCACACTTGCGCTTGTGTCGATTTACGCAGCCAGGCACGCACGGCGGGAATCTTTGAATTTCAATGATTCTTCGATTTTTTCGCCTGGTTTCTACATAAAGTTTTACAGAATTTTTTTACAGAACAAGTAAAAATGAACGACCAAACGTTGAATCATATCCTGAATCATTTTTCTGCCAAGTTCGAGAATGTTCGAAGCGATCAATCACCAGATTTACTCCAAACACTGACTTTATCGCAATATCAGGTAAAATTAAAGTAAAAGTTTCTGCAATGTTCGTTTTCTTTCAGAAGTTAGCCGAAATCGACGTTCAAACTGTAGCGGGACTAAGCGAAGGATTAGAATCATATTTAAAGGACCATTTGGAGATTCTTAACCTCCAATTGCAGTTAAAACAGAAGAAATGTGCGCTTGCTGGAAAACTACAGACTTTAAATACAAAATTTGACAAAGCTATCGAAGAAACGAATGGTGAGTTGTGAAAATTGTATTTTTAAAAATTCTTCATTGTTCAGAACGGAGTGACCTTCTTAAGAAAGGAAAGATCGATTTTTTGAATCCAGTGGCTCCCGCAGATGAGCCAGTTTTTGCAGTTCCAACAGAAATCAAAAAACAAATTCCTGTGGAACCTACTTATTCAACAGGAGTGATGCGAGAAACTGTTTCTCAACGACCACAACCTGCAATTGATTCTGTCATGAAGCCTCCGACGTACACATCACTCTTAATGTCGACAAGAAAGGAAAAGAAAGAAAACGTGCCGAAGACTGAGTCTTTCAGTTTGGATGATTCACTGCTGAACGGACATGGTAAGGAAAATTTTTAAATTGGCTTTGAACCAATATTTTTGATTTTCAGACATATCAATGGTGAATATCTCCGACGAGAGAAGACGATTACAATTCGACGAACTAGACGATGATAAGGAAGAGACCCCAGCCAGGAATAAAGCCAGCCGATCCGCGCCAACAAAAACTCCATCAAGAACTCCTGCGCGACCAGCGACGGAACGGAAACCACTCGATTTGTACTCTCTACCACCTCCACCAGTCTTTACGTCAAGTTCCGGACGGGTCTTCAACCAGAACCGTGATTAATTTTTCGAATAATTTTGCAATTTTCTTTTCCAAAACAATTCTATAACAAATGCATCTGTATATTCGAACCAAAACAGTGAAAGTCATGTGAATATATTTAATAAACTGTTTTTTTAATCAACCAATTTTGCCTATATAAAAATAATAGTTGAAAAGCTATGCATATTTTCGTGAAAGGTCTTGAACCAGTTTCATTCTCAAAGTTTTAGCTGGATGGAGGAAAAAGAAGTATCAGGAGACGAACTCCAACTCCAGCTGGAACCGGTGACTGCTGAAAACCTGAAAACTGTTCGAACCCTTGTCGCAAGCATATTTCCTGTTTCGTACAGCGACAAATTCTATCAGGAGTGTTTGGAAAACGACCTAGTCGGAGTAATCGTCAAAAATGGAGAAGCTATTGCGATTGTGGCCGTCAAGCCGGAAAATTTTGAATCTGGATTAGTGCTATACATCAGAAGTTTTGGAGGTTAGTTTTAGTTTATTTGTCATTCTGTGAATCAAGCAAAAAGTATTTTTGCGGAAAATCGGAGCTGTTGAAGAGAAACTTCCCACCTCGGGCGGGAGTCGCTCGATCCGCAATATTGCGTCATGGTGCATGCACACAACGGCAACTACAATAACCGACAAATATATTTGTCAAAATTTTTACAATGTTTATTTTCAGTACATCCTCGATATCGAGAATCTGGAATCGGATCATTTCTGATGAATTTCGTCGAACAGAAATGCAAATCGCTGAATCTTGTAAATGCGATGCTCCATGTTCAGACTTCCAACAAAAAAGCGATAAAGTTTTATAAAAACCGAGGATTCATCATAACGAGCACGGTGCCGAAGTACTACCAACGATGTGAACCACCCGATGCCTATATCATGTGGAAATCTATTTTGTAACTCAAAAAAAATATTTACTTGTGTAATTCGAGTCAGTATTTGAATATACTAATTTTAACTTATTTAAATTCACCAGATTTATTTAGTTTTGATAAATATCAATCTGCAACACATTCGTTATAATAAAACAAGAAAAGAAAAATGAACAGGAAGAGGGGGAAGCTACTAAATACAACAATATAGGGGTTTTGAAAACAATACATCACAGATACTATTCGACAGGGAACATATATTTTCTCTTTTGGGGAGTAGGCACCTTGAAACAACGAGTGTAGCTCTGATTTACGGGATGATGATGATGGCATGAACACATAGAATTAGGTGAACCGGTATTTAAAAGGGCTGTGAGTTTAGATATATCTGGCGGGTTATATAAGATAAGAGACTCTAAAATTAAAGTTTTCGGGTTGAAGGAACTGAGTCGTTTGTGATCGGCGAAGGCGTGGTTTTCATTATGGATGACGTGGATGGCGGTAGGAGGCTGTTGAACAGCTTGATATTCTCGTTTGAATACGACGGCAAGAAGAACTCGCTCCTACTGACTGCTTCGCGATGAAGCTTCTTTCTGGCTCTGAAAGATTCAATTGAAACGACGGAGACTAAAGAATCACACAAACCTTAATGAGATTCGATCGTTGGCTGATGAATCGTAAACTTTATTATTTGGTACAGATCGGAGGTTTACAGAATTCGAAAGTGGTTTTGCGGCAGATGAGACACGCATTGAGGATGCAGCAATAGGGAATCTGAAAACGCCAATTTTTTTTTTAATTTAACGAAATTCGAAAACTCACCTAGTACTGGGGAAAACGATGAGACGGTCCCTGGTCTCGACGGCGGTATTGACTCGGCGAGCTGGATCCTCCACGCGTTTCGTATCCTTCAGAACCGCCGAAGTTGGTGGCAAACGCCGCTGCGCTGAGCCCGCCTCCGTGTCGAGGAATAAAGAGTCGGGTCGAGCCACCGTTGAACTTCCCATATCGAGCATCCGCATACTTCTCCTTCGTGGAATGGAAACCGGATGGTCCCGGTGCAATGGCTCCGCCAGAAGTGCTTCTTCCCCGACGGTCAATGGGCGCGGCCGACGCACTACCACCGGACTCGACGACGAACGATTCGCCTCGTTCGATGGCCGACGCTGCTGCGATCCTGACCGGTGAAGATCCATAGGCCGACTTGATGACAGGTGCGGCACCGACTGCCCCGCCGCCAGTGTACGCGAACCACGAGTTGAACATGTGGTGGTAGTTGTCGGCGCCCCTCCCAGCGCTGTCCTTTTGGCGACGGGAACCCTGGGCGACGTGCTGATAGTTGGATTCGTCGTCGGGATAGTCGGCGGGATAGACACGACCCATCGCGGTTTTCGAGACACTTCCGCTGGCTTTGGATGGTACTCTGGCATCGACATGGTACGCATGAGATCTGAAATTTTTTGATTTGATTGGTATAACTAATCGAGACTGTGATACTCACGCTGGTAGTCCATAGTTGACATAGGACGATGGGCCAATCGAGGAACCGCTCTGTTGCCGGAAGATGTAGTCGTCTTCGTCGAGTCCCCCGCGCGGATAATAGCGATGGGCTGCATACCGGTCGTAGAGCTCAGAGTCGGCGTACGACTCATATCCGGAAGTCTGGAATGAAGACGTACATAATGAATATCATAATTAGGGCATAGATTTGGTGAGTAGGATGGAAGGTTAGTGGAAAAAAACAGAGACAAGGACATGGGACAAAACACAAGACACACAGTTGATGAAACGAAGGGTGACAGTCGGGGGAAGTCGGAATCGGTGAGCATCTCCATTAGTACCTAGGCCGTTGTGTGATCGACGGCTCTCGATAGCTCGAATAGAATTTCGAGTTTCCAAGATGAACTGTTTGAGGCGAAGGACCTGCCGCTGGAGGTGGCGACGAATTCTTCGTGTAAGAAATCAGCCGGATTCCTTCTGGGGCATTGGAAGCCATAATTTGTGACTGTAATGGACTTTTAGATAAACATTCTAGAAACTCATTCATTAATAAAAAACCAGTTAACGAAATGAAAGAAGACATGTAACAATAATTATTTGTTAAGATTTATTATGATTAGTTTTAATTACATTTATTAGCTAAAGTAAGATCTATTTAAAAACCTACCGTATTATGTGGGTACTGTGGAATCAGGCCATACGGTTCTCCATAGTCCACAAAAACGTTTCCGCCACTTCCTCGTCTTGCTCCATGTGGTGGTGGTGGAGGTGGAACTGGTTCCTTTCTTTCGTCTCCAATCGACTTTGGCCTTTCTACGGATCTCAGCTCCACAGACTTCTCAGGGGAGGCATCTCTTGACTTGCTTCCGAATCCAAAGAAGTTTCTCATCGCACTGAAAGGGCTTTATATTCGTTAGTGAATACTTCTACAGTAATCCAAAACTCACTTTCCCATACTCTTCCTTCTCGACTTGTCTCTCGAGCGACTCTCCTCATTTTTCAATCGAAGAAGAGCGGCTCCAGGTGGGAACGGATGCTGCTGGTCGCCCGGCTTCGTGGCAAATTGCACTTTGGATGCAGAGTGGATCTGACCAGTTCCTCGGAGAATACTCTCCACTGGTCTGTTGATACTCTCCATACTCTGCGATCGTCGGTTCAACATGTCTGGAAAATCAAAAAATATCGTAGAATGGGTTTAGTTTTTAATATACCGGAAAATCTGTAATAGAAGGCCCCTCACACTGCCAACTTTGTCCTAATTTATCTCGGTTACTAATAAAATGACTGTGATATTATAATGAGCAATTTATCAGTTGACAAATTTTCTATATCTTTGACAGGTACCGAGATAAAATTGACTCAAAGTTAAGTTTGCGGCCCTTCTATTACAGGTTTTATCGTTTTACATGTATTTTATTCAGATGTTCATCTTATTTTCTGTGTATTAGTGATTCTTTTTTTTTTGTATTTTTTTTTCTGTGTGATTGTTTTATTACTGTATTGTATTGTACATAAGGTCGTAATAAATTACAAATTACAAATAACAAAATTAGGATGAGAAGCCCGGTAAAATCATGCCAAGAAAGCAGAAGAAGGTTAAGAAAAATACAAACCAGAATCATCCAGCTGTTGATCTGCCGCTGCCGCTTGAGCTAGAGCGGTCGGCAGGTCGACCAGCTTCATCGGACTCCGATGGTTCCGCTGCGAGAGGGAGCGGGGCTGAGACTTGCTCCTCTTCTGAGTGGACGAGGTGGGAGCTGAAAAGGGGAGGAGCGTGAGAAAAGCAACGAAGAAAATAAGGAGAAGAAATATAAACACTCGTTCCAAACGTTTTAAAGTAACTCACCACTATTCTGCCTCTGGTGCTTGATCTCCTGGAACAGCTTGATGTGCTGTGGATCAGCAGCTGCTCCCAATCCTCTCTTCTCACTTAGACTCTTCCGTCCAGGAGCTTCCCGATTGAACGGATCGTTGTCCGGGAGTTCAGACTCGTCGTGGCGAGTCGAATCCGAGACTATCGAGTCCCGCTCCGTCGGCGCCCTCACTGGAGCTGGAGCTGACGACGAGGATGACTGCCTCGAGTGAGAAGAATCAGCTCCACTCGAAGACGTTCCTCGAGGGTGCGGCGACTGGAGAAGCGAATCCGGAGCCGTGTGAGAAGACATCCTTGACGACGGAGATGGAGAAGAGGCATCGACGGTGATTCTCGACAAATCCCGTGTGATGTGTCCAGGGAGATAGTCGTTATCTCGAAGAATCACCAATGTCACACTAGACCGGACCATTGACACCTCCTTCAGTTTCTTGGACAATGCTGCTTGAGCTTCTATGTTGTTGAGAGATTCGAAGTTGATATCTTCCACTCCAATAATCCGATCATCAACTCGAAGACCTCCTTCCTTGAACGCAGCTCCGCCATGCATCACATTCTTGATGAAGATTCCACAATCCACTTTGGATCCATTCGACTTTTTGGAAACTCTGGCCTTCAAACTCACTCCCAATCCAGCAGAACTAGATCCATTGATGAATGGAATCACAATCTCGAAGCGTTGATGAGAAGACGGAGAAATCGTAGGAGTTTCTTTTGGTACTGAAGGTGTCATCAAAGCCGGTAGTGGAAGTTTCTGTGGAGGAGGTGGAATCTCACTCTTCTTCTCTTCTTCCACTTTTGGAGTTCCCTCGTTCTCCTTATTTTCAGATGACATCGAAGAATTCATCGTCGCATTATTCGTTTGAGACACTCTTGACACCAAGAATTTGATTTTTTCACCAACCATTGTCTCTTTCAGCTTATCAACAATTTCAGATTGTGTGAATTGTCCTGTGGACACTCCGTTGATTTCGAGAAGGCGATCACCAGATTTCAAATGACCAAGAGCAACTCCATACGGCTTAACTGTTCCTATGTAGAATAAACTTTCATTCTTCGCAGTTTGTCGACCAGTGACCGTGAAACCGAATCCTTTGGCACCTGAAAAAGAAAAACATAAAGCATAAAACCCTTCAAATAACAAAATCTTACTTTTAACCAATTCAACAACAGTTGTATGTCCTATGTATTGAGTGTTAGCTTGTTGCAGAGCCGATTGAATGGGCTTCGCAGATTCTTGATCCAAGAAAGAGTCTAAAGAACGATTGATAACAAGAGTAACTGGTCGATTGAGATTCGCCAACTCCGAAATCGAAGTACGAGCTCTAATTATCGACATTTGATCCACACTCTTCCCATCGATTGCCACAATCAAATCACCAACTCGAATACGTCCGTCTTTTCCAACTCGCCCACCGTCTTCAATCTTCATCACTTGAACAGAACTCAATTTCGAAGGTTTTGATGTACTAGGCATATCTGGAGATTCGTCGAAAACCGCGTTCACTTCAATACCCATTTCTCCGGCTGGTGATGGAAATGTCACAAGTGTAGTTCCAGGTAAAGGACCCTGTTCTATCGTTGCTCTTGAAGATGGATTGCTCTTTTCGTCTACTTGACTCTCCAGATGATCCGCAATTCGATCTCTAGCCTCCAAATGTGCATCAGTGATTCTCGACTTCCGATCAGAGCCTCTATTGAATCGTCCCGGATTCTTCTCATACTTTTTCCGTTCACTCCTTCTCTCAGCTCCTTCTTGCTCGGCAAGTTTCTTCTCAACTTCTGGGCTCAGTGTCACTCTCGACTGCTTCACTGGCGTATCGTCAGCTCTACTTCCAGACGTTTCTGTTCTCAATGAAGACCGGAGAATCGGTTCGTTGAGTGATTTGCCAGTTGGTGTGGACACTGACACTCGGAGTCCTGATTGAGGTAGTTTCTCGAATCCACTCACTTCGACAACCGAGTCTCGACGATCTTTTGGAGGGCTTCCTCGAGCAAATCCTACGTTGTAAGGAGAAGCGGATCGGTGAGGAGCTTGATGGTTCACAGTCACACTACCTGCAAATTTTTTTTGTTTTTGCAGTTGTGCCATTTGAAATTACCGTAAAAGCCTGTATTAGAATGGATCCTAACTTTGAGTCCATTTTTCTCGGTTCCTGTGAAAGATATAAAAAATTCGTCAACTGATAAGTTCCTTATCTTAAAATGAAAAAAAATTTGTCAGTTGACAACTTTTTGACATCTTTTATAGAAATCGAGATAAATTGTCTCAAAGTAGACAATGAGGGGGATCTTCTATTGGAGGCTTAACCGTATCAAAGATAGAAAACTTACCAAATGCACTGGCTATTGGAGTAGGCGGTCCTTCCATTATTTTTCTAGAATACGGAAGTGGTTGTGCATAATGATGTTGTTGTTTCTGGATTTGCGAATATGTCGGAGTCGTGGACCCTCCATTTGCTTCATCGGTTATTGCTAGTATCTGCAAAAAACATTTAATTGAATGGGAATTTCGAAAACAAAAAAGAATTTCATATATCGAGTTTCTTCTCCAGCCAAACCTGATCATTATACAAATCAAAAACTTCTTCCAACACATCATCCATATCCAGCACTCCATGATCTGATTCGCATTCCAGACGAAGTACTCGAATTCGTTCGTTAGCTGTCTGAAAAGGACAAAAAGCTCTAAATAATACTAACCGTAACATTGTCATTTGTGGTGGTCATATTGGATGAATAAACGGGGAGTGGATCCCGGACCCTCTGCTGAACAACTCGTGCCGGCGGTGTGTGCACATGATTATAATGATAGGGTGGCGGTGGCGGAACTACGGACGATTCATATCGACTACGACCGTTATGCATCTGTTTTGATGCTGAAAATTCCAGACACCTACAGAGAGAAGGAATATGTATTGCGAAACTAAAAAGTACGGAGAAGAGAGCAAAATACCATAGAGGGAGGACAGAGAGCAAAACGGAAATGTAGGTATAGAGATGGGGAAGAAAAGGACACCTTGCCAAATAATGTAAGAAGAGGGAAAAAGAAGGAGAGCAAACGACGATAATGAGCCAAGTAAAGAATAGACGGGAATACCAATCCAACCGTGATTAATCAAATACTATAACAAATACTTGGGTGTTAGTTTCCTTTTTTCCCTCTCTTGGAGGGTCGGGGTGTCTTCCTTTCGGTATAAAAGAGAGCATGGTCACTCTGCGCGCCAATTCATCTGGGTCTATTCAACCAGCCACACTATTTCCAATTTCTGTTCATGCACCTGCGCAGGTGAAAAAAGAGGAGAAGGGAGGGAGGTCTCTTTTTTCTTCTTATGATGAACAATGTCTGTGAAGAGAGATTGAGGGTCGAGAGGAACAGGGAAATGGCAGATGTTACTAGAAGCACGTTGTAAGGCCTTGTAATTTGTCCAGATAAGCCGACAAATTGGGGTTTTTGATGATACCGCCTGTAATAGAGAGGCCCCTAACTTTGAGCTCAATTATCTCCGTTCCTATCAAATATATCAAAAATGTGTCAACTGTTTGCGATAATATCAGAAGTGTTTTGTCAGTAGACGCATTCTTAATAAATTTTGAAGGAACTGAGATAATTGAGCTGAAAAATGACACTGTCAGGGCCTTTCTATTACAGATTATACCGTATAGAAAATAGATAAATCTTCGGTTTTTCGATGTTTGTCAGGTTCGAGTAAACGAACACACAGTGAAACTCGTTTTTGATAGTAGGAGAGTCTCCTCGATCTAATAGAAAAATAATCGTATTAAATACAATCGTCAATAATGTGTACAAAAATAATTTATTCAACTATTGAAACGAGAGAATCCAGGAATTGAATTTTGTTTAAGTTCAAATGGACTCCAGTGGTGCCTTGTGGAAAATCACATATGTTCGAAATTGAGGAATTGAGGGGTCAGATGTTTAACTAGGAAAGGATGTGAGTGGGAGAAGGAAAACACTTGGAACGGGAAACATAGGAATGATCTTTCCAGCAAAGGTAGTATGATATCACCTCCCCTTCCTTGCAAGCTAAAATAAACTATTGACTACTTACAGCGGGCGAATAAGTCGTAGGAACTTGTGATGCACACAAAAGGAAAGAATGACTCACTCCCTATGTGCTCTCCCCTCTTCTATAAACCTTCCTACAAGTAAGATCCTGAGGTTGCGCAAAGAAACGGGGTAGATCATCATCATCATCATCGGAATGATAAAGAAAAGGAGCGGCAGAGGAAGAAGGGGGAGGAAGAGAAAGGAGAAAAAGACACGACAAATCGCGAACGACAAATAATGGAGAGGAAACACATATAGAGAGATAGATAGAGGCATCTCTTCAGAACCGTGTCTTTCTTTAACCGTCTGCGGGTCTCCTGAAGGCGAAGAAGATGTTCAAGTCAAAAAGTTTTTGTACACTTTGTTTGTGAACAACAGGATGATGCTGTTTATCAGTTGCAGCTGCTGCTGCTTTCTCTAAACGACGAGGAAAAAACTAAAATATTTGTAAATGGGATAGCATGAGATATGTCATGTTATGACAAATGGCAAGGGAATGTGTTATGGGGCTGCTTTATTTTATTTCAAAAGCCGCGGAGCACTCAAAGCCAGATGCTCTTGAAATTTTCAGAGGAGCAAGGCGGTCAGCAGCTAGGCGCCGCGTTTCCTATCATAACACAACTGCACAACCATAGTAATATATCAATGAGTCAGTGTCAACCCACCACCGCATTAAATTAGACTAAAAGCTAGTTGGATTTTGAATAAATCTAAATCAAAGAAGACAAATGTGTGATGCCAAAATCTTATCAGATCAAGTTGCAGGAGAAAAGACCACCACAACAATCTCATCTTCATAAGAAGGCCTCTCAGAGAGGCCAGAAAAAATTTACTGCGAAAAGTTGGATGAAGCATTTGTACGAAAATCCGAATTCGTGTTGTGTGGATAAACAAAAATCTACGAAGCGCATCGAAATCAATCCGTTTATATTGCGAATACGGCCTTCATCCGGAATTTCGGCGATGTGCCGATTAAAGTCAAATTCACTTTTATTCACACACACAAACCCATTCATTTCTGGAATTAAAAACGATAGAAAGAGCCAGAAAGAGCAGGGAATTGGCTCAAATTTTGTTGGGAAAGGAAAAGATAGATGGAGAAGTGAGTGAAAAAAGTTTTGACAGTCACAAGAAACTAGGGGGAAGAAATGTATTATTTACAATGTGCCCACAACCACAGGAAAACTACTGTTTGTGTCCCTTTGGCTTGTCTCTGGGCGAGAAAAAGAAGAACGGAAAAGGCAAAGTTATGCGCATACCCTCGTCCTTGTTCTCAGTCGAATTAACCCATAGTTTTCGGGATGGAATATAATAGGAAACCACCGGGAAGGAACGAAAAAAGAATGTTGATTTTCTCTTTTTTCCATGGGAAATGGAGCGCCGGGAACGTAAATCATGGGAACCAAGATGACCACCACAACTGATAAGGATAAGGTCGAAAAACTCACTAATCCTTTTGCTTTTTTGTACCGGATCAGCGCCGCTTCGGCTAATTGTCCCACTGTTTGATCCTGAATTTGAGAAGTTTTGTTTCTATGTAAGCATATAAAAACTCACAGATTCTTTCCAAGGCACCACAATTTTCATACGACCAAATTGAACGGTGACTCGACGAGTTCCATTCAGTGGGAGACATTGGTACTGGCTCTGAAAATATATAAAGCTTATTTTTCAGTTTAAAAAATCAAAGGGTTGGAACAACTGTGGTATGCTGTTGCGCTCTATTGAGGAAATACCCAAATTTTTTAATTTGGAGCCATTCTTCGGATGTCCCAGTGCAAGGGAAACAAGGCGTTTCTGTCAAAAATGCCAAAATTTAAAAGTATTTCAGCCAAGAATGAGCGATTTTAGCCAATTTCAGCACTTTTCTAGCGTTAAATTATAAGCTTGGACAACTGGAACATCCGAAGAATGGCGTCAAATTCAAAATTTTGGGTCGATCCCTGCCTGAAACTGGAACTCACCCTGTCTAGCGTTGAAATCGTTGAATTGGCATAAGCACCAACAGCTCCATACTGCTGCATTCGCTTCTTCAACGTTGACTCTCCGGCGACGTCGTCACTGTTCTTCCTGGGAGGGTCTGCGACGTCTTCTTGTGAGCAGGCCGTCGACGATGATGTTGATGAAGCTGACATGAGCGATCCACCTGGGACAGTGAGCATTATAGGGAGTTGATTGAAGAGTGGAAAGAGGTGATAGAAAGTAACTAACCGATCAGAGCACTTCGTTTCGTTTCGCACCTATTTACTTTGCGTCCTTTTTTTATCTGCAAGAAATCAATTGAGGAGCAGAAAGAAATAGCCAAGAAATTGGAAAATAAAGAGATAGATTCCGAACAAATAAGGAAGAGGTGTCGTCTTCTCGAAATGGAAGATGCGGAGATCGAATTACACATTTTTAAGAGAGAATCTTCCTCCCTCCATTTCATCCCACTTGGTTAATTTGTCAAGTGTAATGAAGAGGTTTCCCAGAGAGTCAATGGGCTATGGTCCAGCCTATGAGAAACAACATTGAGAATACCGTAGGGAAAAGCTAATACAACACAGAATAACCTTTCGAAAAATGTCACAAGCCCATTCAAATTAGCAGGAGAAAAAAAAAAGAAAAAAACTGATTGAGTCATTCGGCATATGTTTGGGTAAGAAGCATTGCCTGCTTGGCTCTTCATTGCATATGCCAGGACAACTTGGTGCACATAATTCATGAGGGGTTGGTTAGGAGAAGAACGAAATATATGACAAATTATAGTCGTGTCAATAAGTGATATGAAGTGGCTGGCGCAACAGATTGGCGGGTTGCGCTCCGCGAGACTCGGATAAAAACAGTGAGTTTTACCAGCCTTGTCAAAAATCTTGAGGCGAGAAAAAAGAAGCGAGAAACGTCAGGAAGGTGCCAAAGCGCGTTCCCTTCCATCTTTTGTCAATTGAGGTCCAATAGAGACAGTGTTTGTGTAGAGACATGGACGACCCTTTCTGACCTTGCTCGGTACTTTTATGGCCAAACCATCCGTTACTTGAGGGCCAAATGACCCGCGCGCGCAAAGTGTAGATGATGATGATGATGCGAAAAGCAACGATGAAAACTAAAAAACTATCCAAAGTGTTCCTAGAGGATTAGCTTCGAGGAAGAGGTTACCAGCAAACAAGGGTGCGGAGTTCAAAGCTTCAAAGGAAGAGAAAAAGATCATAGCGGGCCGGCTGATAACTGGTCTCTAAAACGAGATATTTAGTTTTGGTCCCAAATGATAGATCCCGACAGGACCCATCATGCCTATTCGACCAACTTGACAAAAAGCAGATTTTTTTGTCATTCAAACACATTTTTCGACATGTTATCCTACAGGAATCCGGCTCGAATGATATAGGCGTGATGAGCCCTGTCGAGATCTATCATATGGTACTAAAACCGTCTGAATATCTCGTTTTAGGCCCGCTTGCAAGTACGAAAACAACTTCAACACGCATAGAAAAAGAGTACGAAAAATGCATTTCAAATTGGCACCGAGAAAGAAAAAGTTTGCAGCACCCAATAAAAACTCTTCTTCGGGATTCTTTTTCACACAGAAAGAAACATATGTGTGAAACGATGTTCGGCAGCAGCAGCAAACCCAGACTCTTCTGATGACACCGAACGATGAAACGGCTTCCCCGAAGGTCAACAGAAAAGCGGATTGAGGGCGGATGAGGAGGGAATCGAACCAGAAACAAATAATGACCGGACGGCTGTGAAGGGAACAAGTGAATGAGTACTTAGTGGTCGGGGATGACCTTTATCACTTGGACACGATACAAAAAACATGTGGAGATTAGGATATAGAGGGAAACCTGTTTCCAAGGATAAGCAAAATTCGCTTTCGAAATTTTTGTTACGCAATTCTGTTTTTCGGTATCATCACCATTAGAACAATGTCTTCGCTATACTTCTTTCTGATTCTTTTCTTTTATTCGGCCAATTCTGAATTCATTCGGTTGAAAAGACAAGCAGCTCTTTCGACCAAAGATGGTATTGATATTCCGTTTACTTTGAGGTAGATTAGAGAAAAAAATTACATATAGAAAAAACAGAATTTAGATCAACTATAACTTGTTTGACACCGGGAATCAGAGAGAATATTTGTCTGGGTCCACGAGTTCAAGTCTTAAAAGAGGACAGAATCGGACTCACTAATCGAAAGGGAGCCACATATGGTTATCACAATGGTGTGGATATTCGGTTGTTGAGAGCGCACAAGTTGCCTCTGATAAATGAGGATACAGAAATCGGTCGGAGTATTGGAGCAACTGTAGACGTCACTCGTGACGATGGCGCATTGGAAGTGGGCACTCGAGATAAAATATTTCAAGTTTGGAAGCATAATAGGTAAATTAATTACTAATTTTAGCAAAAATCCTATTTTAAAATCCCGGAAATCATTTAGAGGCGGATTGGTTGAGTGGGATAGTCAGGGAGCAGGTGTGGACATCGGGTCGAGAGCTTCGGTCGCAGACGACCTCATAAAACTGCGGGTATTAAATTTTAGGTCTTTCAATAAAATTTTAAAGTTTATTTCGCTTGCAGCACACACTTTTCGGTGTGAATGTTGGACCGACATCGAGAAGAAATATTGTAGGACCTTATCAGGTCGGCGAGACAAAATGGCAATGTGAGTTTTGGCTTAAGAGACAGGAAAAGCGAAAAAAAGGTCAGATAAAAGAAAAAAAAGAGCGCTGAGCCATTTCCACGATCCGATTCGGAGTGATTTAGCACAACACGGTCTAAAAAAGGTCATTTTGACCCATTTCTCGAATAAAAAAATTGTAAATTCTTCCGCGCTTTCTCCCCCGCGTGCATTTTCGCGGTGCAGTGTTTACAGATTTCGACCCTACTCTTCGCGGCAACTCAAATTTCGAAATTTTTCCAGACCTGAAACCTGAAAACAATCCGATTCCCTCACTTTACCACAACTATTATGCTGGTAGAGGAGATTGGTATAAGAATCAATTCAGAAGACCAGGTGCTTTTTGATCGCTTGATCCAGATGACAAATGAGTTTTCCAGGCGATGAGTACCGTACACGAGAGCAACGAGCATGTCCCTGGTGTTTTGCAGTAGATTCGACATATCCTACTCAAACAATATTTAATCCTTATTTTGGGTGATTGATGGTTACTCAAAAAATTATAGATATCCCTGGATCTCTTATTTACCTCTTTATTTTCTCATAAAATAGATTACGATACAACTTCTATATTTCCCACAAGACCAATATATAAACCTAACCCCCTGGGAAAGTGCCTGAAGACATACAATATTTACTTCCGGTATCCCACCTGGAATTGGTGTGTGATTTGACAAGCGTGATGGGCAGGTGCAGGTCAATTAGAGGTCAAAAAGGTCAGCTATGAATGGATTGAGAAGTCCCAAATTACAGTAAAGGTCTTACAGCGAAAACTACCGTAATCTAAAAACGTATTGTTTACCGAATTTAGCTTTTTCGTGCGTTTTCAGTCAACTTTTTTTCACTATCAAAAACTCTGATTATTCTTGTCCGGCGGTTTTTTACATCATAAGGAAATTAAGCTGATTATTCATAAGAATCTGAACAATTTAAACAAAAACAAGCAGTAAATCTGAAGGAAATATGCAAAAATAAAATATTTCCGAAGTACTGTATCAAAGGCGCATACATTGATTTCTAAAACATTGGCTGGTTTCATTTCAGTACCGACTGTTCGCCTTTAAAAAAATGTCCGGTTACAAGCTTCATCAGCGCATGACAAGGGCAATATTTTCCGATTTTTTTTGGAGAAAAATGACAGAAACTCAAAAAAAAGTGAAAAAAATAAATAGTTTTAAAAATTAAGATTACTGTAGATTTCTGTGTCTCAGAATAATAGCAAAAAAAAACCAACAACTCCCGATCTTAATCTTCTTCCTTTTTTCCTAATCTCAACTCATAAATTATGAAACGGATTCAATAAATTTTGTTGCGCAGCAGATCCATGATGACGATGGAATATCTCACCCCTCTTCGATTTTTCCCAAGTCTTCTATTCGTTTCAAAAGTTATGATAACAAAAGATAAAAGATAACACCTATTTTATTACCTTGAAGATAGTTTTTTGTCGGTCCATCGCTGCCAAAAGTGTGTGTCATCGCGAATGATCGAAAGTGTGAGAGCAAGGAAGAAAACCGCCGCGTTCAAAACGAAGGTGTCAAAAGGAGGTGATGGATGTGAAAAAGTCAAGATGATTCAAGAAGATTCGACTTGTTGGCGTTCTTCTCTCTCTCGATGCATAAAGAAAAGGGCATTGTATGAATGACAAGTGATTGATCACCTAATTGGAATAATATGGTATCAGAATACTATGTGATGGGGGTAGGGGTTACAAAAGAAAGAGCAGGTCATTTATTCGTTTGGTTTGGGTTAATTAATGTTAATGTGTCTTTTTTTAGTTCGTTTTTTGAGCCAACCATGTTATTGTAAGAGCGAATTAGTAGATGAGAACCATCTACAGTATATCTACAGTAAGAGGTGTCAGCAAGTCTTGTGTACAGTATGCCGTATACTGTATAAGGTAAACTTTTCCCAAAATTCTGAAAAGTTGCGAAATTGAAAATTAACCTGACAACGTGCCAGACTATCTGGCTGTATAACTATGGTCCTAAAGTTACAACTACTCATTACATCCGCCTCTATAACCCCTAGATTTACTTGGTCCAGATTTACAGTGCACCCTATTCTTTTACTGGGTCTATCTAGACCTTATTGATAGGATATAGGCAATCCGTTTTTCGTGCATTGTTGAAATTTAACTTGTGTGTGAAGAATCTTCTTGGTGACCTTATCGGTTGGAGGCACAAATTTGAATAAAAATTTTTATTCTCAACGTTTCGGCTTTATGCCATCTTCAGGAGACAATTACCTACAAAAATGAGAATAGAAGAAGTGTGAACCGGTGTAGGGATGAGTGAGGTATTCAAATTCGTGCCTACAACCGATAAGGTCACCAAGAAGATTCTTCACACACAAGTTATCTAGATCTTCTACTACTAGCCCTCTTTTTTCCCCAGATAACCACTAATTCGCATACGTCAACATTCTCATCATTTTTTATGATCTTCTTCACATCTGGACTCAAAATACACTATTATTATGTGTACTCCTTCACTTCCGTTATCTAACTCACACCTGGCAATATCCCCTATCCCAGATACTCTTTCCCAGAGAGCCCATTATCGGCTAAGCCACGCCCTTTTTCGACCCGCCCCCTCCTAATCCACACAACCTCAATCCTCATTCTCATTCCAGTCTCTCCTGACTTTTGTATTCGCAATGTCGTCTTCCGTTCTGTTCTTCATCGGCCTATTCTCTATGGCTGCTGCCGATCAATTCTGGGTGACTACTGTACTTTCTGAATTCAAAGTTCGTGATCAGTGTGCCGAGTTCTGGAGTCAGTCCTCTGCGTGTTCCACTCCGTTGGTACGCATCTCCACAAACATCAATCAGCCGATTCAATTCGCTTCTCGGACATGGAAAATTAATGACACTCGCAACTCGGTAAGTTATTTTAAAAAGGTTTTTATTGAAACTTATCCGGAAAACTATTTTTCTGAGAATCAAAATTTCGCCATGTTCCTAATTCGAAATATCTCTATGTTTTCAGACGGAAACTCCATCATTCGTGAGCCAATGGCATGGTTCAGCTGATTCGATTCGAGTTTCAATCCAAATCGAAGGGAGTAACCCATTGAATCCATTTGGTCTTGTTGCAAAATGTGATGAAGGTTTCCATCCGAAAGTTGTCTTCAACCAATCCTCTGATAACGTCATGGAACGCCTTTCTACCAGAGTCGTCATCATTAATTCCCAATGTTTCACCGCCAAAGTACTCTTGAAAGTGGATACAGCATGCCCATACTGTCCAAAAACAACCACGCCTCTCCCGGTAAGATTCTATTTTTTATTTAATCAAAACAAATCATTCATTATTTATTTTCAGACTACTCTCGCTCCAGAGTTTTTCGTCTATACTCATCGAGCGTCAATCGTGGTTATTCTTCTGATTACCTTCACAACCGTCTCTGTCACTATCTTCATGTGTACATTGAATCGTTTCATTCAAAGAAGACGTGGATTCAAGACTTGCCCATCTCTGGAATCTGGAATTTCAACAATCTCTCCAATGACCGATTCAACCATCATTTCCATTGAGAATAAGAAGACGGAATTCTTTGATTTCTTTGCTCTGATGCCACCTGCCATCGATTACGAAGAATTCGATTTGGATGTCTCAGTTGATAGCAGAACACTTCCACGTCTCGGATCCCTTGTCTACGAATACTACCCAAGCAATCTTGATGTCAGTGTTTCGGACCCAGTCTTTGTTTAATTTTCTTCACTCAATCATTTTCATTCTCAATTTTTCTATCTATTTTTGTGCTCAATATTATTTCCTGTGTCAATCCTGTATGTTGTGATCTCTGTGATTCTTTGATTCTCCTGTTTATTTTCAACCCTGTCAGTTGTTATTATTATTCTATCCTTTCTCAGTATTTAAGTTTACCACCAAATAAAAATTTAAAAACTTCAAAAGTATGTTTTTCTAGATTTCAATTTCACAATTGTTCGGACTCCCCAGGTTCTGATCGGAAGTTGTCCGAAAACGGATTTATAGCGGGCCACGGTCAGATTTAGGTCGGAATTCGAAAGTTGAAATACTATTAGGTCTGAACCCCCAAAATGGTTTTCAGCCGATTTTTCGAACAAGTTTTTTTTCAACCTTCGATTCAAGTGTCTTCCATCATCAAGTATGTCTTCCAAATAAGTCGTTTATCAGAACAAAAAAACCACACTGGAAACCAGTGAAAATGCGAATGGGAATGACAACAAAATAAGTGAAAATCATTGACAAAGAGAAGCAAAAAAGACACAAAATAAAAAAACAAAAAAGAGAAACAACATTGTATATCCCTGGGAGCAGCCGATAAGCAACGAAACAAGAATTCAGATGACCCGTTTTTCGAAAGAAGAATATTTTAGACACGAGTCGCATCGCCGAAAAATACGTCTTTTTCGTCGTTGATGATTCTTGGAGAACGGCTTATGGATCTGAAAATGAAGAAGAATTGAGAAGGATTCTGAACAAAACACTAGCAAAAAGAGGATCAGAAACTCTAGTGGGGGGAAACTCAAAAAAGAAAAGAAAACCACGAAAAATTCAAAATTCTCAATCTCAAGATCCCAAAAAAAAAAGCAAAATGAGTAATGATTGTGAGTAGATTCTCCATGTGTTAAAGTGGACACCTGGAAGGTACACAGCATGGGAATACACTGACAATCAAACCTGCGAAACTGACTGCCTCGTCGAATGACGCTGTTCCTGAGATTGTCCATCGCTCGTTCCACACTCTTCCGTCGTTCTCGTGTTTTGACGTTTCCACAGCATCGGAATGCGCAGACGCAACCTGAAAAAAGGAATAGTTACAATTATTGATATACAGGGTGGCATCCAATCACCCGAACTAATAAAAACGGGTATAACTTCAGATATATAGTAAGCACGAAAATTAGTAGAAACAATCAATTCAAAATATTCAAAGAACCAGATACCAGGGTAAAAACTAGTTGTCAACTACACTTTTTGTTTCATATTTTTCGAAATTCGCAGAATGAGACATCCACTTTCACCTACTTTAACGGATTCCTGAATTTAGTACCATTGCAGATATAGGATTTTTCAACTACCACCAAAAAAAACTTTCATGGGTTTTATGAGTTTTATGGGACCACTTTTATGGGTCACTAAAATAAATATTTCTAAAAATTAAGATTTTCCTTATTCTACTTCCCAACTACCTTAAAACCTGTTATAGAAGGGCCGCACACACTGTTAAGTTTGAGATCATTATTCTTGGCACATATGCAAGATATCAAAAATCTGTCAACTTGCAAAACGCTTCTGATATTATGATAAACAATTGTTCAGTTGACCACTTTTTCAAAGATTTGACAGGAACTGAGATAATGGAGCTCAAACTTGACAGATTGGTGGTTCTTCTATTACAGGTTTTACGGGAAGTATAGGTTATCCTTTGGACGGTTTATATGGGGTTTTCCAGTGAATAAAAAAATTCACATGTGATAAAAAGTGTGAGACCAACTGCTAGCCCAACTGATAACAACAGTGACAATGTTCCTGTGTCGAATCTTGGCTCTGGTGGACCATTCAGCTCATTTGATATTTCTTCTGAAAATGTTACTTTTGAATTAAGATTATCTTTCCAAATCTTACTGATTATCGTAGAAAGAGCTGGAAACCAATCGTCAGTTTGTGCGTAATCATTGACTTTTGTGAGTATTGCCTTCCTCTCCTCAGATGTTATGTATTTTTCGGCTAGTCTTGCAGGCCAGATCACCATCTTTTTATAATGTTGCCATACAAAAACAATAACCGAATTTCCGCAATCTCCAAGAGCCCAGCGACCCTCAAGAGCTCGACAAAACGCCTCGGCTCGCTCAGTGAGTTGCCTGAAAAGGAGTAACATAAAAAAGAGTTCACGGGAGTAGCAGAGTATGGCACTGGGCAAAACTGTGGCATCAACCATTTTTCTTTTCAGAAAGAGACAGTTTCAAACAGTTAAATCAAATGGAAACTTTTGTGGAAAATAATGATGAGACACTGTGAGTTTATATTCTGATTATGTTGAAAATTTCAAGACACAATCGTTTTCAGTGTACTCAAAGACGGAATCGCAACTCCAAAAGTGAAATCGTATGTGCCAATTTTAAAGGATCGAAATGGAAGCGAGTATCTTCAGAACAATGAGCTGTTTCGTGGAAAATTTCTAGTCAAAGTAACAGTAATTGTAGTTTGCTTGCTTTTCCAGTACTGTATGATTCAGGGCCTCATCGGTCGCGGTGGTTACGGCCAAATCTACTACGGCTCCGACGCCACGTTTCCCGAAGACGTCGTTATCAAAATCGAGCCAATCGTGAGAAACGGGAAAACCGGAAAACGAATGCTCCTGGAGCAGAAGATTCTGTATCGTCTTCAAGGAAGACCTCATGTTCCGATTATGTGCGCTTCTGGACACACGGATCATTTGAATTTTATAGGTATAGGTCGTAGGGTTCTTAAAGCTTAAAGATGTGTTTTCAGTCATGCAACTATTGGGACCAAACATTGGAGATTTGAAGAAAAGAAGTCCGGCAAGACGGTTGGGCCCGACTACGGTAGCGCGAATCATGATCCAAGGAATAGCGGCTCTTCGCGATGTTCATTCTCTTGGATACATTCATCGAGATGTGAAACCGGCCAATATGTGTTTTGGAATCACTCAAAATGTAAGAATCGGACTTCTTGCATAGTTTAAAACCCTCAAAACCCCTCTAATAGAAGGACCGGCTGTTATAATATAGGTTTTACGAAAGTCCATAAAATCTATTTATTTCTAGACTCGACACGTTCTGAAACTCGTCGACTACGGTATGGTTCGACGGTACAAGAATCCGGATGGAACCCGTCGGAAGGCACGTCATCGTCCAGGATTCCGTGGCACTCTCCGTTACTCTTCAGCTCGAGTTCACGATGGAAAAGAGCAAGTTCCATCGGATGATTTTGTGTCCATGGCATATTCCGGAGCTGAGCTATTACTGGTGAATTTGCCATGGAAACTGGTCTGTGTTGAGGATATCAAACAGGCGAAATTGGATTTTGTGAGATCTTTTGAAATTTTTTTGGGATTACAGTGACCTGATTACTGTAGTGCTCCTTTTTAGCACGCTCCAAATTCTCCATTTCTCCTTTTGACCGGACCGTACTTCTCCGTTTTCTGTGGAGCCATTTTCAGTCTTCGTTCTGATGATGAGCCCGACCATGCTTCATTGCAAGCTCTTCTTTCGGTAAACCTCATTTTGAAAGTTTTGGCGGGAATTCAAATTTCAGGAAATGACCGGTGGAAAATCATTGAGAGAAGCTTACGATTGGGAGGAAAACTATCGCGAAGCCTGTGGAAGTGAGGATTATTGATTTTTAGATTTTAGATTTTTAAATAATTTCAGCTTCTACAACTGAAAGTGTCTGAACTAGTGAACATTTCATCTACTCGGAAAATAAATCTTTTTCTTTTTCTTTTTTTTTGTTTCTAAAGGGTTCTAAAACCTAGGAAAACAAAGGATCTGGTGACCTGGCAATGTTTTTTGGTTATTTGTGGCTATTATTTTTCCCTTGGTTGATTCACAGACTTATTCCGGAACTAGGCAAACAAAAGGTCCCTGGGACCTTGTCAGGTTGTTTCCTCGTTTAGAAAAACTTACGTGTCACTTGGTGAGTGCATGTGCATGTAGAGATTTTTAACGATGGCGATGGAGACAATGAATCCGTGGAGACCTTCTTTTCCGCCGCTTCCTGGAAAATTGGGCAGTGGGAATTGATAGGATCCGGATTGGCGGAATAAGAAGCAAGCGCACAGTCCAAAAGAAACTGGAGAAGCTCCAAAAGCTTTCTATTTTTTTTACAAAGGTTTAAGATTTACTGGATTTCCAAATATAATTTTCTGCAACAGTTGGAAAGAAGACATAATAAGTTTGTTCCGTTTTCAAATTACAAAAATTACCAAAAAGATTTTATTGGTTTCAGTACAGGTTTGTAAATTTTAAGATCATCAAAAGCTAGTTCAAAAATTTCTGGTTGATCTAAATTTTCGGCCAATTTCGAAGAAACATAACTCAATAACCAAAAAAGCTAGACAACTATTGCAAACAGAGAAAGTGTGAAAAATTGAATCTCCTACATTTCAATATTGACTTTTCTAGCTACCGTAGTTTTTGAGATATGCGCCTTTAAAGTTGGCGCCTTCTCCAGACGCAGAGCAAAAAATGCGGCAATTTTAAAGGCGCAAACTCAAAAACTACGGTAGTTTCGAAGAAGGGGTCAACTACAAAATTGATGCTCTATTTTTGTTTTATATACTCTTAAGATTTCAGATCAATCATAAAATTAGGAAACTATTTTGCAGGGATCCATTGCTGCCCAATTTTCACTAAAAACTTCCGAATCAGATTTTTTGGTGGAAATTAAAAATTTTAAAGTTTGTTCAGCTAGTAGAATTTTCCGGATACCTTCAATTCCAGTCGTACACTGTGATCTCCTCTGACAATGACATGGCGTTCCAACTGCCAATTCTTGTAATTGAATGTTCAATTGCATCGCTGCAAAAATTGCTCATTCTTAAACTTTCATCTAAAACACACTCAAGTGCCACATGTTCTTTTAATGTGTTTTTTCCTATTCTTCTTCTTCTTCTTCTTCTTTTTATTACTATGCTGCTGTGTTTTTTTCTCGAATAAGTCTTTGTTCTTTTAGAAGAAGAAGATAATAATGAAAAGAAAAAGAAATATGAGGACAACAAGAAGTTTTTTATGAACTAACCTTGTGTATTATTGAGCATGTGATCTGGGTCACACACATACAATTGCTGCTTGTTTCGTGGCAAAACTGCCACGCATTGATTGACTGTAGGACCACGAAGATCCGGAAATTGAGAAGACGTCCATTGCGAGGAAAAGATTACTGTAACTTGGTAGACGAGAAGAAGGATGAGCGTGGCTAGCATCCCTAGAAATTATTTTTTTTTTGAAATTTTAATTAGCTGGAAAATTGAAGAGAAAAAAAGAAGTACATAATTATTATGTAGTCTAGAAGTTTGAAAAATAATTGAAATAGCGAAGGAGGAGTTGAAAGTTTGAAAGTTCTGAGCTAGCCAAAGATTACAAGAATGACGAGTTAGAGATTCTGCAATTCTGAAAAATTCAAAATTATAGATTTCAGGTTTTTGAGGTTCCAAAAACTATGGTTTCATAATTTTTCCCAAAAAATCCAAGAGAACAACCGAATATTGAAACCAGTTCAAAACCAAATCCAATGTTAGTTTCAATGTTTTAGAATTAAAAAATTTCAATGTTCTAGGTTCAAAACCAACCAAGTTTCGGTGCTTTCACTGTAATTAAAGATATCGTGATGGGACCCAAAAAGGGAAAGCTTAAAAACTCAACATTCTAGAAGTATGTATACTCATTTTGAAGCTTTCAAAACGAAAAACATTTTGCACTAGTTTTCATCACATTATCATAAACACGAACAAAGTTACAGTAGTTTTACAAGAAATTCAAGTTTACACTTGAGACCCAAAATTTTCGAAATTTTCAAACTTTCAGATTCTGGACGCGTTAATACTCGCTTTGAAGTATTTAAAACGACTAAAATTTTGAACTAGTTTTCATCCATTTGACACTGTTACGAATTCAGTTACAGTAGTTTTAATAAAATAATTTCAAGTTTCCACTTGAGACACAAAACTCGAAAATTTCAAAAATTTATGATCATGGCTCGAATTTTGAAAGTTCTGGGTTATAGAAATTTTTCTAATTTGGATCTGAGATTATTAAATTTTTCGGAATTCAGCTATTCGAATTATTAGATGCTTTTTAGATTGAGATGCTTTTTAGATTGATTTTTAGATTGAGTTTTTTCCTGGAAATCTCAAATTCTAAAAAATTTTCAAAAGTCATTTTTGAAGGCTTTTTATATCCCTAAAAATTTTAAAATGACATGTTAGATAGCGGAAAAGCTTCGAAATTGACAGCTTAATTATCTCAGTTGCCATGAAAGATATCAAAAAAAAATAGTAAACCGATAAAATGTTGGTATTATCATGAAACATGTTATCAGTTCGCCACTTTTTGATATCTTCTACAGAAATTGAGATAATTGAGCTCAAAGTGAACGCATATGGTGGCCTTCTACTGAAGTGTTTACAGTCTTATTTCAAACCCATTTTGGCAACTTTTAAGAAGAAGAAGAAGAAACGAAGAATCAGGAGCCGAAAAACCTATGAAGTGTTATTATTATGATATGAGTGAGGTTATTTTGAAAAACTGCGGGTGGCACACATCTCAAGACTCATCTTTCCCCAGCCGACGACAGGCGAGAAGGGGGGAATAGAAGAAGAAGCAAAACGAATTGTTACAACTACACTGAAAATCAGTGAAGATAGAGAGAGAAAGTGGACAGGAATCTGAAGGATTTAGAGAAAAAAGAAATGAGGATAGCACGGGAGCAAGAGGGAGTTCCCGGGCAGGAAAAAATTAGTTGAGGAGCAAGAAGAAGAAGGAGATGGGGGTGGAAGAGAAGAAGAAAAAGACTGGCAGGTCTTCTCTCTTCAAAACACAATATTCCTGCAGATTCTGCACTTTTTGGGGAAGCGAAAGAGGGAGAAATTATGATGAAGAAGAAGAGCTTTGTCTGGATGAATCTAAAAAAGTCACGAGAGCTTCTTTTCCTTCTCGTAAACACACCTCCCACACAATTGACATAGAAAACAAGAAGAAGAACAAGAAGAAAAAAGAGGGAAAGTTCAAATGTTTTTACAACCCGAAAATAAGAAGAAAAGAGCACATTCTTTCCCTTCAAATTACCGTAATAAAATGGAGAAAATGGGGAGCAAGTTGTGTTCTCGGCACTGAATAAAAGGAGAACTTAAGAGATTTTAGAAGACTCTTTGGAATGTCTGATGGGAGAAAATAATGAGGAAGAAGAATAGGAAAAAATGGGAGAAGAGGAGAAAAAAATGATGAGAGGATGGGCGGTGTGATTTATGGGAAATCTGGGGAAGAACCTACTTAATCATTCTAGTCTATAATTTATAGAAATTTAGATCATCTTCATAGTTCTTTAATCTGGAGCCCAAAGGTTCAGATTTTCAAAATCTGGAATTTGAAATTTTGGAATATCAAAAGATCAGACACCTCCTGAAACTCTTAAAATTTCATTTGTCTAAATGTGGAGACTTTCGGAATCTAGAACTTTTTAAATCAAAATTTTTAGACAAAGAAAATACATTTAAGGATTTTGAAAAAATTTAAAATATTTTTGGTATAGATTCAAAAAGTTCAAACTGGGTCCATCCGAAATATCGAGAAGGCTGAATATGGAGAAAAAGAAGAACATTTTGTAAAAAAAAAGTTTGAAAAAGGATTTCCAATAAATTTGAGATAGTTTTGGTCTAGATTCAAAAAGTTTGGACTAGGTCCATCCAAAATCTGGAGAAGACTAAACATGGAGAAGAAGAAGAAAGTTTTCAAAAAAAAAGTTTGGGAAAATATTATTCAATAATTCAAAATTTTGGGAATAACAAAGCCTTTTAGAAACTTATTTTTCAAAATTTGAGCATTTTTTGAATCTGAAACATCGGAAAATGAATTCAGCAGAATTCTTGAAGGTACAGGAAACCAGGAAATCGCTAAACTCGGAATTTAAACTTTTAAGGAAGAGAATGAAGTGAAAAATGAAGACAAGATTTTGTTCAAAGTGAAATATGACATTGGCTTTAACTTCTACTCCAAAATCTCTTCGTAAGACTAGAAAACAAAACTCTTTTTTCTCTTGTACGGGTCGAAAAATGAAGAATGACTTAGATTAAAAAGGAGGAAGAAGGAAACGGCAAAAAGGGAGGAGAAATGAGTGGTTCTTTCCCCCTACTACAAGGATTATAATCCCAAGGAAAGAGCCTTCAGATGCCAGAATTCACCCGAATACCAAATGAGTGTTTGTTTTCCCCTTCTTCGTCCGTTCTTCTTCTTCTTCTTCTTATTGAGAATCTGGTTGTGACATGTTTTCAGTTTTCCTCTTGTCTCCAAGAATGTTTTCTGATTGTCATTCATCGTCTCGTGGGAAGGAGACAAAAGTGACTGGGACATCAAAAAACGCTCGGCGAGCACGGCGATTCGTGAACATCGAGGCTTGATTGAATTCCTACATGGGGCGTCACCTGACTTGCAATCTGTTGCAAATGATCTGGAAAACGGATCAGGGATGTGGGTCATCTATGCGAAACAGGTGGTTATTGGTTTTTCTTACAATATTGAGTAGATCAAAAGTGACGCGATCTGCAGCTAGCAGAACATACATCACTTGGGTCCGAGGGAGCGGGTCAGAAAAGGCGCCCCAGCAAACTTGTAGGCTAGTAGAAATCTAATATTATTAAAGTTTTCCAGGATTTGATCTATTTATTTTCAATTTTATAATCAACGCGTTACAACGCGCTTTTTTTCTCTCTCATTGTTAAAATGCTTGATCCTCCGCCAACGAGATTCGGCCGCCAATTGAAGTTTTGCGAATTTTTCTGGGGCGCGCTTTCTGACAGGCGCTTTGAACGATCGTGCATACAAGAATTTCATTGGATCATTTAAGCAATTGAAGAATGAAAAAGGGATATGAAGTCTTTAAAAAATCACAAAAGTTATGGTAGCTGTCGTTGTGGGATCTTCAGCCACGGTCACTGGTGTTTCCAGAACAGTATGTTTTTTGAGAAGAAAAGGGATACTTAAAAGTCTATTTTTCAGATTTTCAGTGTTTAATAGGATCTCAGAAACAATGATAACGGTTTAGCTAGTCTGAAGTCTCAGGAGTCTAGTGGAAACATGAAGCATTACATTTGTATAAGATAAGTTTTATTAGATTGTACAAAATGAAAAGAGCAGAAAAGACTGGGATAAAAGAACTTGTCGCGGAAAGAAACACGGAGCACTTGTTTTTGATTGATGTCCAACAAGATCACCTGATATCTTGTTCTTTTTCCTGACAGAATTAGTTGAGAAACTTCTGGAGCTAAAAGTTCTGCTGAAGAAGATTACTGAAGTTCCCACGATTGCATTCAGAATACTCGAGAGCATCATAAAACGGAAGGATTTTGGAAAATCATGTTTTAGGTGAGGAAGTCACGAATTCTGAAAATTTCACGAATTCTGATTGAATTAAATACAAAGATTTGCGGATTCTTAAGATCGGGGATTCAGAATGGAGGAGCTGAAAATTCATGATTAAAAGTTTAAAAAATCACTAAAATGTCAACATAACAAAAAACCGAAAGTATGTCTTTTGGGATACTGACATGAATGGATAGAGCTGGGAAACAATGTGTCCAAAATAAAAAATTTTCATTTTAGTTTTTGAGAAAATGTATTTCAAAAGTCATTTCCAGACCCTGTGATTTTTGGGAGTTAAATAAAAGGTTCATGAATGTGGCTTCAGGATAGGGATGTATCCTGAGTTTCTGAAATTCTAAAATTCGGAAATTTTGAGATTTTGAAATACTGAGATTTTGAAATTCTGAAATCCTGAGAGAGAGCGAGAGGGAGAGAGAGAAATAGAGAGAGAAGAAATGAAAATGATAAGAACAATGAAAATTAAGATATCAGGAAGTGAGTTGTGAAGTCGGACGTAGGATGTCCCATTGTTCGGACGTCGGAACCAATTTTTTTTAATTTCGGAAGTCGTAAAACTATGCATATGCTATTTATTGCTATTTCATTTTCTTTTTAAAATTGATTTCGGTCATTTGGTAAAAGGGGGACGTTCAGTGATAAACACCTAGCCATGAACCCCAAACAATGGCGACCCGAGGCCTTCTAGTACTTTTTTTACTTCAATGACGTCAATTAGTCTTCCAAAAAAAGAAATAGCAACGAGTAGCGCATGCATAGCTTCCGAGCATCCGTTCTCTAGATCATCCTGTGTAGCTGACACATTCCGTGATCCAATAAAAATTATCTGCTCTCCTGCTTGCCAATTTGCAGAAGATCCGCCGGTCACCCTCGTCGTTCCATTGGATCCCCGTATTCCTTGATCTCCTGTCGCATTCTTTGATCGAACCAGTTTGGTTTCTCTCCTGTCTGCCCAATTGTATCGTTGATCATCGTTGAGCTCCGATCGATTGAAATATCCCAGCTGCCATGGAAGATCGTTACAACTTGGACAGCTCATCTCAGAATCTCAGAATCTCAAAATCTCAGAATCTCAGAATCTCAAAATCTCAGAATTTCAGAATCTCAGAATCTCAGAATCTCAAAATCTCAGAATTTCAGAATCTCAGAATCTCAGAATCTCAGAATCTCAGAATCTCGGAATCTCGGAATCTCAGAATCTCAGAATCTCAGAATCTCAGAATCTCAGAATCTCAGAATCTATGAATCTCGGAATCTCGGAATCTCGGAATCTCAGAATCTCAGAATCTCAGAATCTCAGAATCTCAGAATCTCAGAATCTCGGAATCTCGGAATCTCAGAATCTCAGAATCTCAGAATCTCTTCAGCAGTCAAAAGAAAAAGAATGGTTTTTAACAATTAAAAAATAGGAACAGAAACTGGAAAGATGACAACTTTTTTTTCAAAAAATTTCCAGAAATTCAAAATTTGGAAAATTCCTTTTTTTGAAAAAGAATTTTTTTTTCAGGATGATTTTTCAGGATGAATTTACAGAAGAAAGCTGCGAAAAAGATAGAAGGAAAATCCCAAAAAAGCTGGTTGGGTTACTGTAGTTGGTTGGGGGTTTCATGTATGTTTCCAATTATTTTTATTGGAATTCTGGATATTTGAACAAAAAACACGAATTCCTTGAAACAGAATGATTTTCATAAGGTGAGATATTTTACAATTTCCAGAATATTCTTCAAACACTCCAGAATCATCAAAAACTGGAACCTCAATCAATTTATTCTTTCTGTTCACGGTGGGGGACATAACAAAAATATTGTTCTCGAAACTCCGTCTAAACATGCCCCTCGAGGAGTTGAACTTGTGAGTATTGAGGGTGCGGCGCCGCTACCGACTGAGCCACGCGGGCAAAAGAGGATTGCGCGCCCGATGGTAAACATAAGAGCGGGGACGACCGCTGTACGCAGAGTGACATTAAGCGTTGTAAACCGTTACGGTAGAACGCATAATCTCAAAAAATACGTGAACTTGAAAATCCTTCAAAACGTGAAATTCACGTGTTGTGACGTGGCAACGCTAAAGTCATCAAAATTTTTTGGCATTCCACATATTTTATTCGTAGACATACGTTTTTTTTACCTCTCAAAGTGAGTTTTAGATATTTAGTAATCAATTCGAACATCAATTTTCCAGAGCAAAAAGCTTCGAAATTCAAACCAAATTTAAACAGAAACCAAAAACACACTTTCCATTCTAATCATAATCCAGGTAAGTTTTTTTTCGAACGTTCTAGACTCAAATTCTCATTTCTTCCAGAAGTCATGATCTATCAGATTTTTCTGATTCTATTTTTTTCATGGTTATGCTTAGCAGGCACTAACGGTAAGTCTTTCAAAATATATTTATCGAAAAAAAAAATCTAAAATTTTCTAGACTCTGTTCTCACCCCAATCATCGAAAACTCTGCCAGTTTGGCTCGTATCTCTGCGGCCATATCCATCCATAATGGGATTTATTCCGAAAAATCGATTGTACAAGAAGTCACTGCCGAATTTCTAAACATATCGCCTTCTGTTGCCAAAGAACTTTTGGAACATGATTATGGTTCTCTTTCTGACAATGTGGAAAAGTTTTATGGATCACTGAGCAAGATTGCAGTACGAGTGAAAGATAGAATTGGGCTAATTAGAGCCATCAAGAAGCTTCTGGATATGAAAACCGATCAGAAATATTTGAAGCGAGGAGCCATTAAAGATCTGACTGCACACTTCGAAAATACAACAAGGATTATTGAAGAATCAAAAAAATCAAGTGAAAGAATTCTAGGAGTTTCCGACTTGAAAACGACAGTTGAATTGCTTCTGAAAATCAGAAACAATGAAGGAAAGGATATGAAGAAGAAGAAGAAGGATAGAGAACAAGTCCTGACTGATCTTTGGCGTAATTTGAAACGCGTGCAAACTCAAATAAATGAGGTCGTGGATTATAAAAAAAAATTGGAAGGATTCTTGAGTTTAACATCGCCGGCGAAGGATCTTCAAGACATTTGGAATGCATCTAAAGTTGCCGATAAATACAGCAAAACCTTCGCGAAACTCGAACCATTCAGAAATGAACTGGCCAGCAAAGATACCAATGAAATCAAAGAAGCAATAAATCAACTTCTAAAGTGTTCCGAACCAATTCAACATCTTATTCAAACATCGACTCTCCTCAATTCGACTGATCTCAAGTATGACGGGAAAGTGATAACTCGTGGTCTGCTTGGATACAAAGATCTGAACAATATTTGGAGTGATTTTGAGAATCAATGGTTTCGACAAAATGTTCTTTCGGATCTGGATCCCACGAGTTTAAAAAAAGGTCTTGTGAGTTTGAAACCATTCCTATCTTCATTGGATTCTCTTATTCCACTAAAACAATTGGATAACGAAAACGAGAAGAAAACAATTCTGGCTCTCGCGAAAAAAATCAATAAAGTACATCAAATCGGATCAAAAGTCAAGAATATCACAAATGTCACAACTCCATTTGAAGAAATCTCTACATGCATCAAGCCGCTCCAAGCGATCCAAACTCCACCGGATCAAGCCATGCTGAAAGAAGTTGCGAATTTTTCTGGAGAGGTTGTTAAAAATGTCAAAACATTTTCCCAGTTAATGAATGGTCTCATCAAAAAAGATCTTAAAAGTATTTCTGAAACGATTAGGACAACCATTGAATTTCTGAAGACGACACAAAACGATTCATTGGAGATGTGGGACAATGCTCGTAAACTGGAAAAGGAGAACAATCTGGGTGAGAAACTTCAAAAGATTGTCAAACAATTTGATGATGTGCTCAAGAAGGATTTGTTCCTGGCAAAACCAAAAATAGGCTTCAACGTTATCAAAACGGTTTCAAAAGTTTTCGGAGGAACAAATGTGGATAGTTCTCTGAATTGCATCCAGAATAAGTCTGTTAATAATCTAAAGGAAATGTTCGGATTTCTTGATCAATCGGATAGTTTGATGAATCAGAAAATTGAGTTTACGGTTAGTTTTTCTTTTTCACTTTTTCAATATTTTAAAAGAAACCAGAACTTTGAAGTCCTAAAAAAGTCCCGAAAATTGCTAAAATTATTGCCGAAATGAGAATTGGGCATTTCGAAACATCTTATCTCGTTTTGTTAAAATTTCTAAAAAGTTGGAAACTACAAAATTAAAACTCTATTTTTGTTTAGTAAACCTATTCTAAAATTTTCAGACAAACTGAAAAATTCTGGACCATTTTTGTAGATCTTCAAAATTGACTTTTTTTTACCAAAATTTGTCTCAGTTGGTTTCAAGAGGCATTTCTCTTTTGGATGAATTTCTACAAAAAAGTTGTCAACAACAAAATTAAAGCTCTTATTTTATTTTGAATTTTCTGAAGTTTTCAAAAAAAAATTGAAAATTTCTGAACCACTTTCATTGAAAATTTGTAAAATTAAAAATATAAATTTTCAGAACGCCACCGATTTCATCTCAAAGTTGCTCAAAATCCGAAAAAGTTTCCAAGAAGTTATTAAGAAAGTGAAGAATGCGACAGTGCCCAAGGAATCCCAGAAATTGATGGATTCAAACCATTTCAAAGAAGTAGGAATTCATTCAAAAGTGATCGGAGGAAGTGTGGCAGCATTACGAGCCATTGAATCAGTTTTGAAAGCGGAAAAATCAATAAAATCAGTTATTGATATGGATACGGATGCGAAACGTGAGAAATCAACTGATGCTTTAATCAATGAGATGAAGCAAGCTGAAACTTCAATTGGAGAGATTCTGAAAGTCATGAAGACAAATAACATTCGTTCGATTTCTCAAATTCAATCAATTTTAATCTCCTTGTCACAACTGAAAAATCAAACTGACATAAAGGACGATAACATTCCGAAGCTAGCCAATAAGTTGTCTAATCATAAGGATCTCAAACTTAAAAGTCTCGCAAAGGATTTATTGGCTATTTCTCGTTTGGATATGAGATTTAAGAATCATCTGAAAGCGTTTGAAGTCAAGAATTCATTGGAGACAACCAAACAGATGCTGGTGAATTTTCTGAAGAGTTACACTGATGACGCTGAAAGGAGGAGAACAATGGAAAATTCGAGTGATGTTGGAGAGGAACAGATGAATTTCTGGGAATGGCTCAACACAGACGAGGCCGAAGAATTGATTTGGAACATTAGTTGGTAAGCCGCTGGGGAATTTTTTTATTGTTGAAAATTTTCAAACCAAGATTTCGTCGAAAATTTGATTTCAATTATTTCAGGTATTTCACTGTCGGGTGGGTCACGTTTTGGATTCTCTTCGCGATTTCCGAGACGATTTGCAATATAATGTACAAACGCGACTTTTTTTTCCTCAAATCGTAAGATATGATTTTTTATCAATTTTTCAAAATTGGATTTTCAATTCCCACAACTTTCTCAACTTTTGAAATTTCACTCAAAATTCTACTCTAAAAATCAAATTCGTAAATTCAAATTTCAGCCCGGACCACCCAGACAAACAGAAGGAAAGAATTGGAAGGTAAGCAACTTTTTTTGAAATAAAAGAAAAAAAATCCTACATTTTGAAAATTGAGCATATTTTTTAAAAAATCATTAGAAATTTTTTTCAGTGCCAAACAAGCCGAAGAGAAGAAAGCTTGGAAGAAGGATGAGGAAAAGAAAAAGTGAGTGACAATTTTTTTGAAAATTTTTCCAAAATTTTTTTTCAGGAATAAGAAGAAAAAGAAGGGGAAAAACGAAAAGCAGATGGAAAATCCCAAGAAAGTAAAAAAAATGGACAAATGGTTCAAATAAATAACATTTTAATTGCATTTTAATTGTTCTTTTATTTTTATTTTATTTGTAATTACCTTCTTTTAATTGTTTGTTCAAACTTATCTGCTCTATTTGATATAAAAATAAAACCTGAAAAAAAAGCAAATCGATAAAAATCCAGAAAGGAAAATTGAAGAACAATAATTAAAGGTGGTGTACGGTGAACTTTTTTGTTGCATCAAAATGTGCAGAAATGTTTGTAGATTGACTTAAAAATTCAAAAAAGTTCAAAAAAAACTCCTTCATCGAGAAAAACGCATCGAAAAATACGTCCCTTAGGGACGAGGTTTTTTCTAGGCCGCCCGGTGAGTCAAACTTTTAAAATTTTTTCGCTCGTTTTCACTTTTTTTTTCGGTTTTTTCAAGAGTTTTCTAGGTTTTTGTCAATTTTTCTTCCAGATACATCGGAAAAATTTGGAAAAACAGTGAAAACGAGCGAAAAAACTTTAAAAGTTTGAATTCGCGCGCTTTTACTCACCGGGCGGCCTAGAAAAAACCTCGTCCCTAAGGGCTTTCATCGTATTTTTCGATGCGTTTTTCTCGATGAAGAAATTTTTTTGAATGTTTTCTTTATTTTTATGTCGATCTACATGCATTTCTGCACATTTTGATGCAATAAAAAAGTTCACCGTACACCACCTTTAAGAAAATATTTTTTGTGAAATAATAAAAATTTCTAGAGATTGGTTTAAAGATGGATATCTGTTTTCAATGAACTTTCACAAAAAAGTTGTCAACTACAAAATTAAAGCTCTATTTTTGTTTCGTATCTTCTGAAAATTTCAGACAAATTGAAAAATTCTGAATCACAGGAGCTCAAAAACAAAATTTTTTCACGGTGTCCTCGCTTATCGTCATTGGAACTACATATACTGGTTGGGTTACTGTAGTTGGTGGGGATACTGTAGGGTTTCGGAAGGAAATTTTAGAAAATTTAGAAAAAAAGTTTTTTTTTCGTCAGAAATTTAGGATTTACTGAAAATCTAGTAAAAGTTTAACTTTTGTGAAAAATCTCAAAATCTCCGAATCTCAGAATCCCCGAATCTCAAAATTTCGGAATTTCAGAATGTTAGAATTTTGGATTCTCAGGATTTTAGAATCTCCGAATCTCACTATCAGAATATTGGAATCTCAGAAAACATGCATTTAAATATATTTTTTCATCAAAACGAAAATAGTATATTTACGTCGGATTACTGTAGTTTCTGTTTCTGAGATTCTAATATTCCAAGATTCTGAGACTCTGAAAACGAGATTCGAAGATTCTGAGATTCCAAGATTCTGAGAGTATGAGATTCCGAAATTCTCAGATTCGGGGATTTCGAGATTTTGAGATTTTGAAATTCCGAGATTCGGGGTATTTTGAGATTCGGAATTTCTAGAATCTCAGAATCTCTGAATCCTGAACGGACGATTAACGACTACCGGTCCATTTAGTAAAATTTGAAAACCGTTCTGGAATCAGGGTGCACCTTTCTATTCATTGGATCTACTGGTATTACCCTAATAAGTTTCTGGATTCTGCATTTTTAATGTGGCAAGATATGAATTTGTAAAAAAAAAGCAATTTTATTGCAAAAATGAAAGAATTGGGTATCGTTTTGCAAAATTTACAAAAAGACGTTTCGTCGGTTGTTGGAACATTTCAAGCGCTGGTTGCTGGCTTCTGGCTGTTGAGAAGAGCAGATGGTCTGGCGAAGGCTCGTGGAGCACCATCCTCCTTGTTCTTGTTGGATCCCCAGGCCCAGACGGATGGGTAGGCGGCAGCGGCAACGTATGGAGAGTATACCGATGGATAGGCGTAAGCAGATGGGACGTAGGCGGCAGAGTAGGCTGGAACCACGACTTGTTGGTGGGATCCGATGATCATGGCGCAGAGGAGGACGGCGGCGAAGCTGAAATTTCAGAATGAGCAATGGAATGCGCAATAAAAGGAGACTTACCACTTGGCGAACATATTGAATTGAATTGAAGCGAGACTTGAAAAGTTCGATGGTTGAAATGGGAATCGGTTGGCATTTTATACTAAAACCGAAACAACTGGTTTCCTACTTTTTACTACTATATTTATTCAAGTAGTAGTAGTTGACACAATGAGTCTCTTTGGCGGTGGGTGCTAAAAAAGTTAGAGTGAACAAATATTTGGATGTTCTAAATAATGTTGCACCTGTATGTTGAGCTGGTTCCTGGAAGGAGGAGTTGTGTGTTGGGAGCATAGATGAACAAGCAGAATTAAATGGAAGTTATATTGAGTTTTATAGAAAAGTTGGTGAAATTTGATATTTGAATGAATAGTAGGACTTACTATTACTCTGAAGTTGTATAGAAGTATTGTAAGAAGAATCTAGAAATTTGGAATCGGATACCTAAAGATTTTGATATTTTTCATGTTTGTTCTGTACATAAAAACTCGGTTGAGTACTAAAAAATTTGAATTCTGGAGTTTGATAATTTCGGCTCCGCGACGTTTCGAAAGACGACGTTTCGAAAGTGTGACGTTTCGCAAGTGTGACGTTTCGCAAGTGTGACGTTTCGCAAGTACGGCAATTGCTTTGAAAGCTTCAAATATACAAAGCTCTGTTCGAAAAACCATTTAAATACTCAAATACAAGTTTTTGCTTTTTTATTCATGCATAAAAGTGCAAAGCTGTTACTTTTGAAACGTTGTACTTGCGAAACGTTGTACTTTCGAAACGTCACACTTGCGAAACGTCGTCTTTCGAAACGTCGCGGAGCCATAATTTCATCACGATTTGGATACATTTCCCGAAAACACTCATAAAGGTACAAATTCGTGTATTTCAATTTTCTAGTCATGGCTTGCTAGCCAGTCAAACTATTATTATTATTTTGCTCAAAATACAGTAAAACCTGTATTAGAAGAGCACCTTTAATAGAAGGGCACCTCTAATAGAAGAGCATTTAGAGAAAGGCTTCCAAAAATAGGAAAAAGAATAATTACATAAATCGAAATTTACAAAATTCAGAAATTTTTTCTTTTTAAAAATTCTAAAATTCGGAATTTTTAGAAAAAAAAATTTAAATTTCTAAATATGTTCTAAAAATCTAAAAAATTGGACTTTTTTGAAAAAAATTGAAATTCTAAAAACTCTAAACCTCAAAATTCGTAAAATTTACGAAATTTCCCAAATCGAAGAAACACCAAATATTCAGAAATTCAGAAATTCAGAAATTCAGAAATTCAGAAATTCAGAAATTCAGAAATTCAGAAATTCAGAAATTCAGAAATTCAGAAATTCAGAAATTCAGAAATTCAGAAATTCAGAAATTCAGAAATTCAGAAATTCAGAAATTCAGAAATTCAGAAATTCAGAAATTCAGAAATTCAGAAATTCAGAAATTCAGAAATTCAGAAATTCAGAAATTCAGAAATTCAGAAATTCAGAAATTCAGAAATTCAGAAATTCAGAAATTCAGAAATTAAGAAATTCAGAAATTCAGAAATTCAGAAACTCAAAAATTCAGAAACTCAAAAATTCAGAAACTCAAAAATTCGAAAGTTCCAAAATTTAATAATTCAAAAATTTCAAATTCGGAATGCAAAATGCAAAAGTGCTCAAATTGATAATTTTCATGAATTTTGAACGGAATTTCTCCGATTTTTATTAAAAATTTTTGAAAAAAAAATTAGCCGGACCTTCTAATACAGGTTTTTTTCCATAATTGATGATGTTTTATAACTCTCCTTCCCGATAAAAATCTTTATTTAGAACAGAAAAAAATGGGACTGATGTGAATAAATTATATACAGAAGGGGCGAACTGAGCAGGTGAGCAAACGGCGAGCTGAAATCACTTGAAGAGAAAAATAGTAGTCAGATAGCTAGCCGTTTCGAATGGTCTTTTTGGGAATTCAGGAAATACGGAAAAAGCGCACAGAGGAAAGAGTTTGGGCAGTTGAGAGACGCAGATATAAATATCACTGGGAGATTAAATTGGTTGATTTTTTAAGAAAATTAGAATTCGACTGTCTTTCCATCTTCGGACACTCGAATCTGTCGAGCTTCAACGACTGCCTGAGTCTGTTGAACACGATTCATGACTTCGGGTTGAGAAGCCATTGATGGATTAGCACGATTGAGAGCCTCTTGTTGTCCTGGAGCTGGGTATGGAAGAGCAACTGGCACTGGAAGTGGAGCAGAAGATCTGAAAGTTAATCGATTTTAGGATGCTGTAGATGATCAGCTCACTCAGAGTCGTTAATAGCATTCAACTCGTTTTTCACAGATTCTGGAGCTTTTAGCATAAGCTTGTCCAACTTTTCTTGCTTCTTCTCCACACTCATTTTCTTATTCTCCATCACTTTTTTGACCTCCTTTTCGAGTTTCTTCGCTTGTTTGCTCAATTCTGGAACCGATGTGGAAGAAGCCATTTTGTTGTTTTTCATTATCAATCTTTTGTGGAGATCCGCAAATTTGGACTGCAAGAAATTCCTATAGTTCGGATTTTTGAACCCAAGACTCACTCTCATTTCTTCTTCTCCATTTGACAAAACTCTTCTAATTTGCATGTGTTTCTGCTCCATATTCATTCTTCGTTCATCAATAATTTTCTTAATTCTTTCCATGGTTTCTCTTTGTCTCCAGAATCCTGGTTTGGCGTTCTTCATGGCCAGTTCACGATCGGTTTTCTCCTCGCCCATGTTGGCATCTCCAGCTCTGTAAAAATGTTCAAAAAATTTATTGGAGAATTTCCAGGATTTTTTGAATCAGCATTGTGTTGTGCGCTACAGCCTTCAAAAAATGAAAATATAAAAAGTGATGTTTCGCTACAAAAAAAAGACTCAGTACTTTCAACTTTGAGTCCAACTATCTCGTTTCCTATGAAAGATATCAGAAAGTTGTCAACTGACAAAATATTTTTGATGTTATGATAAACATTTTGTTAGTCGATCCCTTTTTAATATCATTCACAGGAACCGAGATAAATGGGTTCAAAGTTGACGGTGACAAAGGCTATAAGGGAACTACCGTAAACACTCTGAAAGAAATTCCCCAAAGAACCCTAAACTTTGAGCTCAATTATCTAATTTATTGTAACAGGTATCAAAAAGTAATCAACTAGTAAAATGTTTATCATAATATCAGATCTATTTCATCAGTTGACTACTTTTTGATATCTCTCATAGAAACTGAGATAAATTGGGACAAACTTAAGTCTCTATATGTTAAGTCTCTATACAAAGTTAAGTCTCTATATGCGCACTATAAATCAATTTATTTCGGTTTCTGAAAAAGATATCAAAAAGTAGTCAACTGACAAAATTTTCATCATGAATATTCATGATGTCAGAAATCTTTTATCGAAAATTAAAAAAAAGGAATCGAGATGAATGGACTTTAGTTAGGAGTTCACAGTTAGGAGGCCCTTCTAATACAGGCTTTACTGTAGTTCCTTTGCAAAACAATGATTGTTACAAACCTTGAGTTAGCATAACCGAATGGTCCAAAATCAAATGGATGCTCTCTACGGAAGTATCCTTGTGGTGGATACATGTTGAACGATGGCCGCCTACGTGGTTCTTGTGGTGGTGGAACAGATGGGAATCCCTGAATTCCAAGAAATGACATTCTGATCTCTAGATCTCAATTAAACCAACATAATAAGCATTCACATAATCTGGAGTAGCCATTCCCCCATTTTCATTTGCATCTCCATACATTGTTCGTTTGTAATAGAAGGCGTTAGCCGCAGTTAGAATCGAGAGCAATAGAATATGCCTCATTTTGGTTGGGAGTGTTTTGAGAGAGTAAAGTGGACAGTGAAAAGAGCACAAAATGAGAGCTGCTGGTCAGTTTCGGACTGTCCCTGCTCTCTCTCTCCGCGTACTGTTTGGGTTAGTAAATAAAAGGAGAGCCCTTTTCTGTTGGTGAGACTCGGAGGGCGGACTCACACGATTTTGACGGATAGCTCTCTAAGCGGTCGCGACCTCTAAACCTAACCGCTTCCGGCGAAACGTTTACACGAAAGTGCATATCAGCGGAAGATGACAAGACGTGACGACATGACGCTTTTTGCAGAAGTCTAGGCAGTTGGATCACGATTTAACTAATAAGGGGGAAACGATTCAAAGATCAGTGCCTGAAATATGATTCTGTGTGAAACTGATTTTTCCATTATGACATACGAATAGAAATGTACAGTATACTGCCAATTTATCTAGGTTCCTGTAAAAGGTATCAAAAAGATTTCAATTGATAAAATGTTTCTGATATTATGATTATCATTTTGTCGGTTGTCTACTTCTCGATATCTTTCACAGGAAATGAGATATATGGGTTTGAAGTCGGCGGTTTGGGAGCCTTGTATTAGTCTTTACGATATCTCAAAAGCCCAATGAGTTTAAAAATGGTCAACCAGATACAAGAATGAAACTCACTAGGGAAGGAACTTGGGTGTGGCGATACGGGTGGTGACCTATATCATCTGAAAGCTTACATTTTCCTGATTCCAAATCTGTTTTCAAAAAGTGCTTTGTCGCGGTAGTTTGCGAGAAAACTGGGTCGAAAGTTTGGAAAAATACGTGGATTTTTAATAAAATTTTCTTTCCTCACGTATATAAGTTTTGAAGTGTTGAGAGAATGTGGAAGCGTGGTCGAATGGTTAGTGTGGAAGAATATGAAGCAGGTACTCTCTGGTTCGACTCCCTCGATCTGCTAAATTTTTTTAAATTTTTTCTTCGTTTTTTTTTCCGGTGACTGTATCTGACTTCTAGGAGATCCTATATGGTTCCATATACTGGAACTGGTTTCCATTTTGATTATAACTGTTCTACCTATTATTTTCAAAACTTTTTGTTTTCATTTATTTTTCCACAATTTTCAAAAGATTGTGATCCATTGAAGATTCTAGACAAACCTCTTTTTTTCATTTTGCTCAAAATATTGTCATTGGTACTTTTGAGCACGCTGATTACAGAACTGAAGTCAGTTTTTCCACCCCGGCCTTGTGAAAAAAGTTATGAGCTATAAAAGTGACTACAGTACTAATTTCTCATTTTTGGAGTGAGTTTCTGAAGGAATTAGCGGCGCCGCACCCTCAATCATCGCCCCCACAAGTTCAACTCCTCGAAGGGCATATTTAAAAGGAATTTCGAGAACATTATTTTTTTCATGTCTCACCACCTTTAAATGTTATTCGTATTTTGTATGCGTGTCTATAATCTGAAGAAGTTTTCTCTTTTTTTCGAAATAAAAATTTTTTTGAAAAAATCGCCATGGGGTACCCCCTTGGCATTTTTTAAATTTTCGAAAAAATTGTAATGTGCTAGAATTATTCAAAACAAAGAGAATAAATAAAAAAAGTTGTTTCACGAGATTCGATAACCTATGTCTATTTTTACAAGTCAGATACAGTCACCGGAAAAAAACGAAGAAAAAATTCAAAAAAAGTTTAGCAGCTCGAGGGAGTCGAACCAGAGAGTACCCGCTTCATATTCTTCCTTACTAACCATTCAACTACGCTTCCACATTCTTTCAATGCTTCAAAACTTATATACCTGAGGAAGGAAAATTTTATTAAAAATCCACGTATTTTTTCAAAACTTTCGACCCAATTTTCTCGAAGACTACCGCGACAAAGCACTTTTTGGAAACAGATGTGGAATCAGGAAAATTTCAGCTTTCAGATGATATATGTCACCACCCATATCGCCACACCCGAGTTGGGGTCTTCCCTAGTCAGTTCTACTTTGGTTTCCTTAAAACTATTCAGACAAGTTGAACTAGAAACATCCAGCCATTTTCCCAAATAACGAAATCTACCGTAACCTGAAAAAGCTCCTCCTCGGGTCTGGTCTCATTTCCAGAAGTATTTCTACTATTAAAACATTTTCTTGACCGACTTATTTGTGTAAAATTCCAGAAAAAATTGCAGGAAACTCGGTGAAAAGCAGTGAAAAACAAGAAAATAAATACGAAAAATAAACATATTTTAGGTTTCTGTAGTTGTCGTTGTGGGACCTTCGACAGCGGACTCCTTTTTTCTTCCATAACTCTTAGGTTAACATAATAGCAGAACTCGCTTCTGAAAACCAGAAATGGGAATCTAAACCACTGAATGTCTATGCTCATGTCATGTTGCGCAATCTTTCCCCTTCCTTCCAATCGTTGCAAAATTTCACAATCTGCACAATTCGAAACTTTTAAATATTTCTCTGAAATACCTCGTTTGCTTCGCTTTGTTTTATCATTGATAACAAGACTGACAGGAGGAAATGAGCCATTATCAAAACGAAACTTCCTTCTTTTTCGTTCAATAAGCGCGACTTCGGCGCCATCAGAATGTCTGCGTCTCTTCTGTTTGCGTTATGTTTCATGCCCTCTAACCTGTAAAGAAGTTTGCCGCTATTTTGTAGCCCTGAAAATAGGTGGCACTCGTGACTATTCTGATCATGATTTTTTTCAATTATCAATAAAGAGTAGTAGGAATTACATAGTTTCACATATATTCTTTAAATTTTCGTTATTTTTCCTTGAATTTCAGTCTTGTTTTTTGCTATTTTTGAATTGTTAAATACACAAATTTTTTACTTCGAATTTGCGATTAGACGTCTGCTTTTTTTTTCGAATTGAGAAATTTTCAGATGGCAGATGATGACCGTGAGACACAATTATTCGAGTTAGAAGCGTTAGAAAGTGTGCTCAGAGAGAACAAAGTGACAAAAACGAGTGATTGGACTGACGAAAATGCTGAAATTGAGGGAACCATTGAGGTAAGTTTTTGAAAAACGGTAATTTCTGAACAAACTTTATTCTAGGTAGGATTCGATTCGATATCCGATCCGAAGGTGACACTGACTGGAACTTCAGAATCCGGAGATGAATTCTCTGTATCCCTCGACATCCTCCCTCCGGTTCGACTGAAATTCAAACTTCCTAAAGATTATCCATCAGATTCATCGCCTAAATTAGAGTTGGAAAGTGATTGGATGAATCAGGAACAGCGGAAAATGTGTGAATCGGAATTATCCAAAATTTGCGAGGAGAACCTGATGATGGGAGTTCTTTATCTATGCTATCAAGGCATAATTGATTTGGTGGGTTTCGAAATTTTGACTTAATTTGAAAGTTTGGATTTTTAGATAGACCAAATGCCAACTAGAACGATAAACCTCAACGAGGCATGTAAAATTGGTGAAATATCTATCGAATCATTGAAAAAGAAATTGCTCGGGAAAGGAGAAGAAGCAGCAGAGGAGCATTTTGTGAATACACTTTTCGATTGTGAGGTTTGCAGCTTATTTTTTTTTGTTTTCTCCAATTAACTCTGTTTTCCAGGTATGCTATGATAGTCTAATGGGATTAAATTGCATTAAATTCCAACCCTGTGCTCATGTTTTTTGTAAATCGTGCATATTTGACTACTATCGATCGGTGGCTAAAGGTGTTGTGGTATGTTTGAAAATGATCGAAAGGGAAAAATCTTAATTATTTTCAGTCAAAAGCAATGCAATGTCTGGCGGAAGGATGCAAAAGTGAAGCTTCACAAAGTATTGTGAAGGAAGCACTTGGAGATGAGCTTTATTCAAAGTGAGTGTTTTAATAAGATATTTAAGAATTTTCAGCAGCTGAAAAAAATCCGCATTACTTTCTGCAAGAAATGAAGTAGATTCACATAAAAAAAAAGATGAAAAGTCAATTTAAGAATCTATTTTTCAGGGTTTTCAAGTTTTCTGTTAATTTTCCTCCCAGAAAATCTCGGAATACCCTGAAAAAAAACTCAAAATTATGAAAAAATTCACGAAATTCTGACTTTCAGATATGAAGAAGTCCTCGTTGAAAAAGCGATTCGTGAAATGGACGACAGTGTTGAGTGTCCCAGAGAGAACTGTCAGAAAGTGGCATATGTGACGGACAGACAACGGCACCTTGCCGAATGCTCATATTGCCAATTCTCATTTTGCAATCTGTGTAAACAGACATTCCATGGAATATCAGGATGTAAATGGAAGAAGGGAGATAAGGAGAGGCTGGTTAAGCAGTGGCAAGAAGGAGATGCGGATGTTAAAGCTGATATGTGCCGACAGTTTGGAGGAGAGAAGAACGTGGCAGCTCTTGTTGAACGGTTTTTGAATGAAGAATGGCTGGATTCAAATTCTAAGCCATGTCCGAAATGTGCTGTGAGCATTGAGAAGAATGAAGGATGCCATAAAATACATTGTACAAAATGCGACACGTACTTCTGTTGGCTGTGTACTGCAGTGCTCAGTAAGGAGGATCCGTATCAGCATTTCCAAGGAGATGTGAGTTTGTTGAAAATTGAGATTACTGTTCTCATGAAAATCTTTAGGGCACATGCTCCGGTCGACTCTTCGAAGGCGTACACCAATTTTACGATGATGACGATGATGACGATGAGCACGATGATCTTTTCGAGTTAGCATTTGATGATGGAAGTGATTATGAGGATGACGAAGATTCGGATGTAGAATTCCAGTTGGAAGAGTGGCTGGAACAAGAAGGACACTTTGATGATGGTCCTGATGGTACTACTTTTGAAGAGGAAGAGGAGGAGAAAGAAAAAATTGAAGGAGTAGAATAACTGGTAAATACGAGTAACCTCTTTTTAAATATCGCTTTTTTTTGTTGAATTGTTTTTTTGGGTCCGAGTGGTTTTTTTTTTCGTTTGTAAAATAAATTATTTTGAATTTTGGATGTTGAGTCGATTAATATTTAATTGGTGAACTAAGATAGGACAGAATGAGATAGAGAGGAGTCAAAAAGAAATAACAACAATAATAAATAGAAACAATCATGAAAAATAAACGGGGATGATGAAAAAGAAACTGGGTAAAAATTTTGAGATCAATATCCTCTGCCTGAGTTACGCTGCAGTGTTTGCATCACAGTTGTCAATTTTCTCTTGGTATCTCCATCGGGGAAATTGGCGAGATCGTAGTATTGAGGCGCGATTTGTAGAAGCCATTCTGGACGCACATCCGTTACGGTTCTGATGAAGTTCTTCGTGGTTAGCACGAATTCATTGTAGAGTGCCCATTCTGGCTTGTGATCCAAGACGGTTGAAGGGTGAAGGTTCACAAGTTGGTTGTCTTTCACAGTGACGTAGTGTCCACTTCTCTCCAGATGAGCAACTTGCATGAAGAACCCAGCGACGAGTGCTTTTCTGATGTTGAGGTAGTAGTCACGAGACTTGAAATCCGTTGAAACTCGGCGCAAATTGAACTTATCCATAACTCGAGCCAACTGTGTGCGAACAGTGTCCGCGGTTTTCATTGTTCTGTAGTTGATGAAGTTTTGATAACACCATTGAGGATCTTCTTGGTCTGAAAGTAAGTCGAATTAGAATTTTGAAAATCGAATTTCAACTCACTTTGCTTGAAGGCATGATAAACATTCAAAAGTGTCAAATGATCTCCGTCGATATGAGCGAAACGAGCTTTCGCTTCATCGGCCTCCTTCTTCATTTCGTTTGGACGAACGAAGCATTGTGGAACTGACAACATAGCGGTGATCGATAAAATTTCGTTTGAGCAATTCAATTCCGTTGATGTAATGAGCATCTTTGCAAGTTGAGGGTCAAGAGGGAACTCTGCCATCAAACTTCCGAGTTCAGTCAGTTCTCCGTCGTCGTTGATGGCTTGAAGATAGTTGAGCAATTCCAATGCTCTCATTAGAGTTTCTGGTGCTGGTGGATCCATGAAATCGAAGTGAACAAGATCTTCAGTTCCGAGCTTCTTCAGTTGTAACACAACAGAGCCAAGATTAGATCTTAAAATCTCAGGGTACGTTTGGTCTTGCATTTCAGAGCCATATGCAGCTTCAGTGTAAAGTCTGAAGCACTTTCCGGGTTTCGTTCTTCCAGCACGTCCTGCTCTTTGCATAGCCGACGCCTTCGAAATTGGACAAACGAGGAGAGACTCGACACGAATTCTTGGATTGTAGACTTTCTGTTTGGAGAATCCTGGATCAATAACGAAAACAACTCCATCAATGGTCAAAGATGTTTCGGCGATATTAGTGGAAACGACGCATTTGCGACTGATGGCTCCGTTTGGACGATTTGGTGGAGCTGGTTCGAAGATCCGTTGCTGGGCAGCTGGGGGCAGTGTGGAATACAGAGGAATGCAACTGAGAGCTCCAATATCTGATCCCAGATTTGTGATTTCTCGATCGATCCTCTTGCACGCTTCTTCGATTTCTTCTTGACCAGTCAGGAACAGTAGAATATCACCTTCGGTTTCTTCGCACATGTGAATTTGGATGACAGTACGAATGGCAGCTTCCAGATAATCTTTCTCGGCATTTGGTGTGAAGAAAATTTCGACGGGGAAAGTTCTACCAGGAACACTTAGCAACGGACAATCCTCAAAATATCTTTGGAACTTTCCAGCATCCAAAGTCGCAGACATGATTACGACTTTAATATCCGCTCGATTCCTCACGATTTCTTTGATCAATCCCATAAGAATATCAGTGGCTAGTGTACGTTCGTGAGCTTCGTCGAGAATCAAAACTTTGTAACGATCGAGCAATGGACTATTCATCGCTTCTCTTAACAGCATACCATCAGTACAATATTTGAGCACGGTTCTTTCACTGATACAGTCTTCGAAACGAATACTGTAACCCACTTCTTGACCGAGAACCACATCCATTTCTTCTGCTACTCTTGTTGCGACACTCATTGCTGCCACACGTCTTGGCTGGGTACAGGCGACGAGTTTGGCTTGACTTGGTGGTAATCCCTGCTGTTGCTGCTTCATGAATTCAACTGCCCATTGTGGAATTTGAGTAGTTTTTCCAGATCCAGTTTCTCCGACCAAAGTGATGCACTGATTGGTCCGCAACAACTCCATGAACTTTTCTTTGTACTCCCAAACTGGCAACTGACTTCGTTTCTCCCAAATGGTCCAATACCGGTTGCTGTAGGGTTGACTATTGTAGGGATTGATTTGAACCTGAACATCATTGCTTGATGGTTTCGAATCGAAGCTATTGCTTACCTTCATGTTTCCAATCGCCCCTGTTTGTCGTTGTCTGTCCGGGGACGAGTGTCGATGGGGAGAGCGAGATCTAGAGCGTTTTTTAGGTGAACGAGACCTTCTCCTGTCTCCGCGTCCGCTGCCGTCCAAATCCAACCGGTGTCTTGACGACATCACAAGTCCCTAAATTTAGTTATATACTCGGGTCGTTCGAAAATATTCGAAAAACTAGACGCCAACGCAAACAAAAAGCGGTCAAATATTTCGGAATGGTTTTCGAAACCCATTTAGTTCGTCATATTTTCGAAATCTTTCGTTACGAGACGAAAACTAACGGAAAAAAAGAAATCCTTGATAATTCAAAACAATTTGAGAAACAAATCTTAAAATATGGGTCCGAACACTGAATTCCAAAATTTTAATTTCAAACTTCTTTCGGCAATATTTACGGTGCGCCTTTAAACCAAAGAGCTGGTCTCGACGCGATTCCGCCGTCTGCGTCTCTCAATTACTGGGCGGCTTCATGGAAATATACTGTTTTCTGTTATTTTTAAATCTGAAATTGAGTTTTCAATAATCAATTTTGTTTTAATAGAAATCTCCAACTTTTTCTGCATCGATCAATATGTAATTCAATCGGACAATTTTCCAGAGAACAAGGGAAAACTCAAGGGGAATGGCACTCCGTCTCGCCGTCAGCTCTGCACTTCGTCCGGCTCTCAACAGCCAGGTAATATTGAAGAAAAAACATTCTGAAATGAGTTTCAGTACGAATTGATTTTTAAAAAATATTGGCGCTATGTTGGTTGGGGGGGGGGGGCACTACTTTTTGGTTTTTTTTTGGCATTTTCTGACCTGCGCATTAATTCTAAGCATGTTACAAATATTTTTGAGGTGTCTGGACCTCTAGAAAGTGTAAAATAATGAAGTAAAATAAAAATTCCTGTTATTTGTTTCTTTATTTCAGGCTTAGGCAAAAACGCCTTGGAACCTAAAATATGAATTTTTGGATTTTTAAACCAATTCTAGGGTAGGTTTTTCGGAAAGGAGGCACTTTCAAACAGCATTTTTGATGTATTTTGCATTTTTCATCTATTTTGGCTTTTGTGGAATTTTTGCTGATTTTGGGAATTTCCCAAATTTTCAGTGTTCTTGTTCAAATTAAAGGCTTAGGCCAAAACCCCTTGCCACAAGAAAGACAATTCGGCCTAAGCCTGAAAAATAAAACAAAAATCGTAATATTCTGAAAAATTTCAGTTGAAAAGTACTGAAATTCTCAAAATCAGCAAAAATTCCACAAAAGCCAAATTAGATGAAAAATGCGAAATACATCAAAAATGCTGTTTGAAAGTGCCTCCTTACCGAAAAACCTGCCCGAGTGTTGGCTAAAAAATCCAAAAATTCATATTTCATTTTATTTCATTATTTTATACTTTCTAGAGGTCTAGACACCTCAAAAATATTTGTAACATGCTTAGAATTAATGCGCAAGTCAGAAAATGCCAAGAAAAATCAAAAAAAGTCATTTCAGGTTCGCAATGCTTCTTCCGCCGTCTCGGTGAAAGATGTTCTTGCCAACGCTCCACAAGCTGAAGTCACTACCTTGAAGAATGGATTCCGTGTTGTCACCGAAGATAACGGAACTGCCACCGCTACAGTAAGTTTTCAGTTAGATTAAATTCAATAAAAAATATTCCAATTAAGGTTGGAGTCTGGATTGAGACCGGATCTCGCTTTGAAAACGAGAAGAACAATGGAACTGCTCATTTCCTTGAGCGTCTTATTCACAAAGGTACCGGAAAGAGAGCTGCCGCTGCTCTGGAATCTGAGCTTAACGCCATCGGAGCCAAGCTTAACTCTTTCACCGAGAGAGATCAGACAGCCGTATTTGTTCAGACTGGAGCTCAAGACGTCGAGAAAGGTATCGAATTTTGTTTTTTCGAAACATCATAATTGAGTAATTCAACAGTTGTCGACATTCTCGCCGATGTGCTTCGTAACAGCAAGCTTGATGCTTCTACAATTGACTCGGAACGAGCAAATATCTTGAAGGAACTTGATGCTTCTGATAACCATCACCAACTCGTTCTCTTTGATATGCTCCACGCCGCTGCTTATCAAGGAACCCCATTTGCCCACAGCGTTCTCGGAACCAGCGCTAGCATTCCAGTAAGTATTTTTTTTGTGAAAAACTGTTCTAGATTTGATGTTTCAGACCATCACCGCTCAACAACTCAAGGAGTGGCAAGAGGACCATTACAGACCAGTTCGCATGGTTCTTTCCGCTGTCGGAGGAGGAGTCTCCAACGTCTCGAACCTTGCTGAAAAGTACTTCGGAGACCTCAGCAACGAATACCCAAGAAAAGTTCCACAAGTCGACGGAACCAGATTCACCGGATCCGAATACAGATACCGCAACGACAATGTTCCACACATGTATGCTGCTTTCGCTGTTGAGGGAGTCGGATACGCCCATAAGGACGCTCTTGCTCTTCAAGTTGCTAACCAATTCATCGGTTAGTCTTTCTTCGAAAAATGTGTGCGAAACTTAGTGAACTATATCTTTTTAGGACAATGGGATGTGACTCATGCCACTTCTAGAACTGCCCCATCCAGACTTGTCCAAAAGATCGGACATGACCATGGTCTTCAAAACCTCCAACATTTCAACATCAACTACAAGTAACTTTGCAGTTTGATAAACATAGCTGAAAAAATTTGTTTTTAGAGACACTGGATTGTTCGGAATCTATTTCGTCGCTGACGCCCACGACTTGAACGACACCAGTGGAATCATGAAGTCTGTTGCTCACGAATGGAAGCACTTGGCTTCTTCTACCACCGATGAGGAGGTCGCCATGGCCAAGAACAAATTGAGAACATCCTTGTACCAGAATCTGGAAACCAACACCCAAAAGGCTGGATTCAATGCTAAAGAAGTATGGTTTTTAGAAAAATCAACTCATAATTAATTTTTCTTTCAGCTTCTTTACACCGGAAATCTCAGACAACTTTCCGATCTTGAGGCTCAAATTCAAAAGATCGATGCAGGAGTTGTTCGCGAGGCTATTTCCCGACACGTTTACGATCGTGATCTTGCTGCTGTTGGAGTTGGTAAGTTGTTATTATTTTGAAACTATCCGAAACATCGACATTAAAAAACTACAATTACATTCTAGGTCGCACGGAAGCCTTCCCGAACTACGCCCATGTTCGTGCCGGTATGTCATGGTGGAGATTGTAAGCAGAAAAGAGAAGAAGAGCGTATTTCAAATAATCCAAATAGTCAACGTTCGAATCGCCCATTTTTTAATTTCCTTATGTACTTTTCGCCGTTCGTCCATCGCCTCTCTTTTTCTTATCGAAGAAATGTTTAGAAAAACGTTTTTCCTGTTCGTCTTATCCATATTTTATTTTTAATTAGAGTAGCGTTCTTTGTTTGCACGGTTGGGATAAAAATGAATGAATTGACGAATGAGATTGCGAACTGTTAAATATCATTGAATTTTTCCAGAAAATCCTCGAATATATTTGATTTTTACTATTTCAAGTTCAAAATTCGAAAAAAATCATCCAATCGAAATTGTTGAACCGGCGCACTGATGAAAAAAAAAAACAAGACCGCTCCCCCAATCGGGACGAAAGATAGATCTGGGTCTCCACACCAATTAATTGTGTCTCCTGGTTGGCCTTGACCACTATTGTCAGCCTAGTGGACGAGAGAGGCTATCCGCTTACTGAACTCACTTCGCTCCCAATATTTTTTGTTTATTTGATTTGATTTTTTGCATCAAAAACCCTGAAAAATCGTTGAATTTGAAAAAAAATGAAGAAAAATTCGCTTTCCTCTCTTTGATGTGATGATCACAAGTTTCCCAGTGCAATCAAAATCATGTGATTTCTGTCTTTTTTATTTTCAGTACGAAACTGTTTTCAGAAATTCTTTTCTTCCGAATTCTCAAGAGAAAATCCTGTTTCAGGAATTTTTCTACCGGTCGTTTGGTTGTCTGCGTCTCTTAACCCAATTTACTCACTTACTTCTTTCTTTTTCTGTCCTACATTCATACTTACTCGAAAGAAAAAGGGTTTATTTGTGTTTGCGTTCGGACCGCCGACACAGAATACAACTTCATTAGTATAGAGCCTCGAATTGTTTATTCTAATAATGGGGCGTCGGACTCAATAAACTGACTCATTGGACCTTCCGGTCCTCAATCAATCCATCCTCTCGCAGAGACTTTTCGGTGATGACTCATCGCTTTTTTATCAATTCGTTGAGACCCGCCTCCCTGGTTTCTCTCTATTTTCTTTTCGATCTTTTCTCTTATGTTTACACAGTTTGCTCATCTTCGAATTTTCCTTTTCCCCATTTTTTTTTGAAAGTTTTGTTCCAGATGGCCAAAGACATTTATAAAACATTCAAGCGGTCGGTGTCCGGAATTGTTAGTGGAAGTGGAGAAAGCTCTTCTGCGCAATCAACCAGCGGAAACAATGCGAAATATCGAGGAGGGACTGGAAGAACATGGATCCATCCTCCAGGTATTTAGGATCATTGTTTTTGTAGAAAATAAATTGTTTCTATTTTAGATTTCTTGATAAACGGTCATGTTGAATATGGTGCCCGATTTCTTGGATGCGTTGAAACAGCAAAAGAGAATGGAACAGCTGTCGCGAGGGAGGCGATTCATGCGATACGGTTTCAGCGGGATCTGAAGAGATCTGAACAGACAAGAGAGACGGCGAAACTTCAAAAAGTGGAAATCAAAATATCCATTGATTATGTGAGAGTGGATGATGCGAAAACGAAAACGATGATGTATCAATTCCAATTGCCAAGAATATCATTTTGTGCAGATGATAAGGATGTAAGCTTTTTGGCACTTACAGTACTGGGCAATGAGTTATAAAAATATTGACAGTTGATTTTGAGCATTTTCAAAAGTCTGGAGCTCGGCTGTCAAGTTTCCAATAACTTTGAAAATTTGGGAGAATATAAAACAGATCTAGGTTGAAAACTTTGAATTCGCAGAATTTCTTGTAAATTCCTTTTAATTTCGATTTCTGAAAGACACCCCTTTTTGGCCAGTTTTTGTACTGAAAAAAGCGAAAAAAAGGTGTCTTTTAGAAATTGGCAAATAGCCGGAGAATTAGAGATTTTTGAAAAATTCTGTGAATGAAAGTTTTCAATCTAGGTCGGTTTTACATCCTTCAAAATTTTCAAAGTGATTGAAAACTTGACAGCCAAGCTCTAGACACCTTGAACTATTCAAAATGACCGAAAATCAAATAAAAAATACGCTTTCGTATATCTTATTGACCAAATTATATATAACAAGGTTTCGGTTCAAAATTCGAACTATTATATAAATTACACAATTACATTTCTTTCAGGACAAACGAATGTTTTCATTCATCGCTCGTGGGGACGATGGGAAGCACTTCTGCTACGCGTTCACTTCTGAAAAACTGGCCGAAGCTATCACCTGCACCATCGGAGAGGCTTTCGATTTGGCCTACAAACGATTCCTCGACAAGAATCGTGCATCTCTGGAAAATGAGAAGAACACGTACTTGTTGCAAAAACGAATCGCAGAGCTAGAATGTGAGAATCAGAAATTAGCAACTCTCCTCCAAGAAGTGCAGAATAATAGCAGATCAGCTGCAAATGGTAGAGCTCTCCCGAATGACTATGTAAGATTCTTTTTAAAAAACTGTATTTGCAATTAAAATTATTTCCAGAGCATCCCTCCCCATCCGTCAGCTGCTCCTCCGGCTCTACCGTTATCCCCGATGCCTCAAGGGCCTCCACCGAGTGTTGCCTCAAATATCTATTCTATGCCACGTCACGATGAAGGGGTTCCAACTGAAATGGCACCAAGACTCCCACCAATTTCTACATCTTCCAATGGAACATCATCTTCTACAAGTCCTGCATCCACGTCACCATCGGGACCAGCACCCTCCATGCCTCCACCACGTCCTCCTGCCTCAATGACGCCTCCCACTGCGATAGCTCCACCTCCTCCAGTGGCGCCACGCCGAAATTTTGTGTCACCGAAGAATTCTACAGCTGGACAGTTGGAAGGATTAGATCTTGGAGAAGTGAAGAAGACGCCAAGCAATGTGTTCGATGATTCGTTTGATCCAAGAGCTGGAGAAAAGAAGAGTGTTGCAGAGGAAGAATACAGTAAGATTTATTATTGATTGATAGAGCAAATTTGAAATCTCTGAATTGCAGATCCATTCGGTGCAGATTTCCTGCCAAGTCTTACGAATGGAAAGACAACTCCCCCATCTGCAACAGCCGCTCTTTTGGCTTCTGAAGCGATTTCAAGACTTCCAGGTGGAGAATCGAAGAAGACACCAGCTGAGTATGACGCGATGATCCATGATATTGATAGGAGGCTGGATGCTATGAAAAATGGAACTTTCGAGTTTGGACAGCTTCAAACTGGCGATCTTGATGGAATCGAAGCAGAAAACGCTTATGGGACACCATCCGATCGTTTGAACCCAAAAGTGATGAATCTGAAAGAATAGTATTCTCTTTCAATTTTAAATTCTCAGTGTTTCTTTTTCTTGTACGGTGTTTTCATGCATTCTTGTATTATGGTACCGGCTGACTTGCCGTCGAATCTAGTTGTCTAACTCTCTGTACTTTTAATATTTTACAAGCTTTTACAATTCTGAAAAAAAAACTCACTCTCTGTATGCTAAAATTTTACATGTGAATAAAGTGGAATGTGTCAGAAACTATTAAGAAAAGCATCGGGGGATAAATAAATACAAGTTTATGAAGACGTTGTCGTGTTGACTTTCCAAGCGGCCACCATTCGATCGAAACCAGATGTGAGCAGATTGTTCGTAGGATGCTCATCAAGCCAAGCACAACACGTCACCATTCGTTCGTGGCATCGACGATTCGGCATTCTCGGAAGCCGATTTCCATTGAGATCGTAGATTCTGACATGGCGATTGTCCTGTGGGATAGCAACCACGGCGTGTGTTTTGCTAACAGCAACACGATTGGCTGGAGATGATAGACGGATTGTGGCAAGAGGTGTACGCATATTGCGGAGATCCCATATTTTGACAGTGGCGTCGTCACTAGATGAAACTATTCGATAGTCGGTGTTGAAGCTAACAGAGGTAACCGAGTCTTGGTGTCCTTGAAATACCGCAACGGACTGAATGGATTCTCTGAAGTCCCAGAGACGGAATGTCGAGTCTTTGGAAGAAGTGAGCACGAGCTTGTGGTTGGGATGAGTGCTACAGTGGTTCAGCTCACTTTCATGACCACTCAAAATATTAACCACTTCTCCTTTCTCCACATCCCAAATGTTCGCAGTGCGATCCCAGGACGCAGTGACCATCTGTTGTCCACCAGCAAGCCATTCACAGCAAATAACCGGCGCTCGATGACCGGTAAGTCGAATGACAGGCACACGGATTCGGTGTCCATCAGATTTTTCGTTAGTCTCGTTATTTCTCTTGTTGTGCTCCAAACCCAGAATATTGTTTGGGTCTCGATTTCCACCATGATTCTCTTCTTCCTCCTCCGAGCTGTTCTGCTCGAGTGGTGCTGAATTAAATGTTTTTAAAGGGAGAAAAGTTGATCCTTTAAAACTTACCATTGTTGCTGGGAACTTTCCAAATATGAGTTGACTCGTCACCACTGGCGGTTGCTAGTAGAAGACCTGCAGCTGTTCCAGATCCTTCTGAATTGTTAACTGCGCAGGTTGAGGAGATAGCTACACAATTGACACTTCCAGTATGACCCAAATACGTAGCTAGACAAGCTCCACTTTCTAAAGACCATACTCGTGCGGTTTGATCAGCACTGGCACTGGCACAAATATTTCTTGCTGAATCCGCGGCCACGTGCCAAACACCATCCTTGTGTCCTTCGAGATATCGACTAAGACGGAATTTGGAGCCGTCACGGAAGACTGGAGGACCTCGAAGCGCTGTCCGGAGCTTCTGCCCCATCTGGATGGCTTTTCGACTTGATTTGGCACCTGACTCTTGCACACCGAATACTTCTTGTGTCACCACATTCGCCGCCGCCTCACCCTCGGTTTGTGTCAGTTGGACGATTCGAGCACGTACTGAAACTTGATATGATTGGAAGATTGGAAGCAAAAAAACTATTTATTGAATATTTTGATTGGAAGAGAAAACTAACGGGCGCAATTTTCCGCATACAACGTATCGAATTCCTTTTCAATATGGCCGAACAACTGATAAAGACGAGCTCGATACGGAGCATCGTCCACATCCAGCGAGCTTTGTAGAGCATTCAGAGCACTGAGCTCAGTTTCGACTGTGCCCCGTCGTGACCGCATCACTTTCTCTTTTTCCGCATCTTTTGTACTTTCCTCTCGTGGCATTGACCCTTTTATCTGAAATTCAGACACTGACACAAAAAGCACCGTAGCGAAAATTCAGATATTAGACTTTGGAATCAAGGAAACCTGTGATAATCTGAGAACAAGATGTTACCTTTAAGTAATAAGGATTTACAGAATTCAAGAATAAAAAAGAAAAAGTACAGCTGAAAAGAAAAATAAAATAAAAAATCAAGAAAAATATTTTAATACAATTTTCCGGAAAAAATGACTAAATCTGATCTTCATTCGACACAGGATCCACATCGATTTCCACTTGAGACTCTACAATTTCCAATAAATCGTCCTCTTTCAGTATGTTCCTCGCGGTTCCTGGTCCGAACTTTGCATCGAGAATAATTTTTTGCATGTTGAACTTCATTAGGGTCTTCTGAAACGATTTTCTTCATTTGAATATAGAAGAATTGAAAAACCTACATCTTCATCGCTCAGCCTGTTCAATATGCTGTTTATATGCTGCTGAAAGGCGACATCTTCGTTATACTGCATTGAAATCTCGTTGTTCGGTCCACTAGTAACAACAATTTGCTGTTCAATATCGTCAACGACTCCTCCATCTTCTATATCTTGATGATGATAATGATGCATCTGATCGTCCGACGAAGAAGGATCCATTTCAAGATCTCCAGCACTAGAAGTGTGTTGCGACGTCATTATGAGACCGGAAGGACCTATTTTAATTTCTCGACTTTCCCCCATAATGATGTCTTCCTCAACAAGCGGACCACTACTGTTAATCATTTTCACATTTTGAATTGGGCCAGAATGAGTAGCTGGCATTCGGGACGAGCTTGGTCCGGCTACTGTGTTGCTCCGTTGTCGAGCGTCTATCATAATTTTTTTTCTCGGAGGTTCGGAATGAGTTGGTCTGTAAAATTTGACATAAACACATATATTTAGAGGTAAAATTATAAAACTTACGGCTCAATGATTTGGTCTGGCATGGTCTCGTATCCAATATTGCTCGATTCGTGTGGCTGAAAACGCAATTTATTTTGAAGGTAAGGGAAAAAATGAGTTTGATTTTTGATAAAGTTTTTTTTGCGGACTTGGGAAAATCGTCTTCTATTGAAAATCGGTCGCCGAAAAGCAGTTAAAAGCGAGAAAAAAAATCGACAAAGTTAATAAATATTTCTCGGTTACGGTTTTCGCTATGAGACCTTCGATTATAAAGCTGTTCTGTTGCTTTAAAACTTTTGTATTCAGCAAAAACGTAGATTTTATTGAAGATTTTCATGAAAAAAAAGGAAAAAAATCAAAAATTGTTTGCAAGTCTTTAAAAAACCGCTTCAAAAGGCGAATAAAATTGTCTTCCTTGCAGTTTTTAGCTCAATTGCCTTTCTTCAAAGACTTCAACTTACAATTTGATGTATTCTTCGATTGGGTGTCACATGAACAGTCGCTTGATGTGTTGAGTTCCTAATCACTTTGTACATTTTTGTATTCGTGTTCCCATAGGCCGTCGGATCGCCTTCAACCACTAAAGATTGTCTGTTGTAAATCATCGCACTCGGCTCCTTTTTTACTGGCGTCGCCAACTTATGCTCTTGTTGGCTTGGTATTCGATGCTGAAAAAAATAGAAAAAAATGTTATCGGACTACGAGCTCATCAACTACGACTCGGCGAATGAGCAGATACTGCAGATATTGATATTGCTTCATGAGTCGCGCACACATTGTAATTTTCAAAGTGTAATGCATCACGAAGCGGGGATCGAACCTGCGACGTCAGTTTCGCAAGCGCGGCTGATAGCCAGTCGGTCATGCGTGCATCACCGGTGAGTGCAACGAGAGGGAGTATATGTGAGTGTGCGAGAGGCGGCCGCCAATCGCCCGCCACCGAGGGTAACTTTGCCTCATTGATAACTTACATTGATTCTTTTCGGAGAATCAAGAGGATACGATCGCACAATTGCTTCAGTTTCCCGTGGGGACGGTGACCTCCGTTTCTGGGGATACTGAGTGTTGTTTTGGGATGGCTGAACTGGTTGGTGTACGCTTGTCCGGACATGTCCTATTGATGGTGGTTGGATAACAACATAATCATACTTCATCGTGGGGGACGGTCCAGGCTCGAGAACATCGTCAGCGAGTGGGACATCGTTATAAAAGTCTTTTTCGAGCCCGGATGATAACGGATTCATCTGAGAAGGGGGACGTGATTCTCCTGAAATAAAAAGTTGTAAATTGGTTTTATTATTCTGGCTGTGGATGAGTAACGCCGGTGGCCGTAGCCGAAGGTCCCACAGCGAAAACTACAGCAACCAAAATAGTTTTTAGGTTACTGTAGTTTTCGTTCTAGTACCTTCGGGCACGATCATCGGCGTTTCTCTTCCAGAGTTCCAACTTTTTTGTACTATAATGATGTAAAAACTTATTTGATTTGAAAACTAACCTTTCTTTTTGATAATTGAGTCTGTCCATCGCATTGCATCAATCAAGCTATCGGACATATCAATAGATTTTCTGGAATACTGATCTAGTAGATCACACCAAACTTCTTGAACAAGGGAAACATCCTGCCACACGATATCGTTTCGTATCCGATCCCATATTTCTCTTTTCTGAACTTTCAACTGCGAATCTGGTATAGAAGCTTGCATTTCCTCATCATAGAGGATCGGATTTTCTCGAACCATATTAATTAGCTGGAGCTGAAACTTCACAGTGTTGACAGTATTCTAGTCAATAGAGCTAGCTTACAAGTGTGTATTGGGTTGTTTTTCCAGGTGCTTCTTCACGGACAAACGGCTGTTGAAGTCCTGTATTGGGTCGTTGGGCATTTTGAGAATTCGAAGCAACACCTGGAATAGCACATGACTGGACTATAGTCTCACTAGATTTGTGACAAAACATTTTTCCAGGCTAATTTATCGACTTTCTATGCTTAAGGTAACTTTTATCAATCTAGGTTAACATGTGCTTACTGGTCATGCTATTTTTGATTCCAGCGATTTGAAGACTTTCGGAGACGTGCCTCCTCCTGTCGGTCATCTGAATTTGTAGTCACAGAGTTCTGAAATGAATTCCAACTAATCTCCTAATCCTAGAAAAATTCAGTGTGATCCTATGTTCCGATTGTTGCGATTTCTTGGAGCATTCCAGTTGCTGCGTCCCCAACTACATACCATTTTCTGATCAACAGTAATGACTATACTAAAAGTCTAAACTTGTAGTTAAGCAAGTACAGTGCGATCGCGATCGTTGGTCAGGTGATAGACACACAGACCGAGACTCGAAAGAGGGGCGGAGCCGGGAACCGCGACGCAACCGAAACGCTTCAGAAACCGCAACGGAACAGGCATGCGAAGCGGTCGATATTCGAAAGAAAACGGAGCGAAACAAAAGAAAAAGGTCGTTAGAGCGAGGACGAGACATGGGTAGTGGCTGGTGGCTGGGTCGGGACACTAGGCCGCCCACTTATGTTGACTGCCTGCCTATTCTGCGTCTCTCAAAGAAGATGTGTCGTGAATGGGAATTCTGTGACGTTTTGTATGATGTCCTGACATCCATGGGAAACTTCGGAAAAAAAAAACAACATAGAGGAGGGAAGGATTCGACAGGAAAACCAACATTTTACAATGAAAGAAAACAATATTTTTAAATCGAAAATCCATTTTCCAGAGATTTTTTACATTAGTTGACAGAGAAATACTGTAAATTCTGTAATATTCAGAAGCACACTCGGAACTTCGGAGCCTTGCAAAATAGAAGCAAAACAGTCAAAAAAGTTTTTAAAAAGTCTAATAGTTCGCATGTTTGCTCAAAATGAATGTATATTCATGAATTATTAATAATGTCGATGTAAAAAAAACATCAAAAAGGGTTCGATTGCCTGGAAAATATTCCCAGATTAGTGAAATTTGAACACTATTCTTCCAAAACTGAAATTCTCGGTTCCCACTCTAAAAGAGGATTTTTCTCTATTTTTGATAGGTTTTTGATCCAAAAACCTGTTTTTTTTTTCATTAAAATGCACATTAAATTATTTTTTTTTCAACCAAATCGATTTTTTTCAGAGGTTACGGTAAGCAGTCAGTCTGCACAATACGCAGAGTGAACAAAGAATTCCATCGTTTCGAGACCAATTACTACAGTAATCTATTAAATTTTTATAATTTCACTTTTTTTGTTTCCGATTTTATTTATTTATTTATTTTCAATGTCATCCCCGCCCAAAATTACTAAAACAACAAAATAAAATTTTTTACAATTTTTAAAACTTTTCTTCTCACTCTTTGTTGTTTTATCAGGATTTCACTGAGCTAACTTTTTTCAGAATGAATGATTTAGCAAAAAATTTGCTAAAGCATTCTCAGACAACAGATTCTGCCCCACCAATATCACCATTGTCATTCGCTTTCATGACTGACGAGGAGAAGGCGGCGTTTAAGTTCCCAGCATCCGAACTCGCAGAAGGAGATACCAAAAAAGATGAAGAGCAAATGTCTCCCAATAAAAACGATTCGAATAGTCATTCTTCCCCTTCAACATCTCCTTCTGACTCATCATCTCGTCCTCGGAAAACTTTCAAAGTTGACGACCTTCTCATAGTGGATGATGACGATGAACCATTTTCTTCACCCGATGGCTACGAACCAACGGCTCATCTCGGATGGGCGTCATTTGGAGAATCCATTCGTCCACCACCTCCCACTACACCTCCACCGCCTCCGCCTGTGCTCAGCAAAGTGGTTTCTGCTCCAGTCCCACTAAAGCGAAGTAAGTTTTTTTGAAGCTTATAGCACTCATCGATTCACTTTGTTTCAGAAGTATACGTCATACACCAAGCGAACCGAGCCAAAACTAAACCTTACGATGCCTCCAATCATGTGTCTGCTGCTACTAAGAGAGTCTCTGGCTCTCCAGTTTCTCCCACTTCAAAATTAGCAAAAAAGGACGTAGCTGACGTAGTGTCTTCCGATTCCGATGCAGATGTTGATGTAGTCGGTCTTGATGAAGAAGAATCTACGTAAGGTTGAATTTGTGAGACTAAAAATTCATTGTGTTGTTTCAGATTGTTACTAGACGTCAGTGATTCAGCAAACCCACCAGATCTACCGCCACAGAGTTCGCTCGGATCTAGATTTGGACTCAAATCTAAGCGAGGTAAGAGAAAGTTGACATTGTCGTTGACCTAAAATAATTATTCCTCCTACCAGACAATCGTCGAGGCTATGATTCGGAGGACGACGATCCGTCGAGCTTGCGTTATGCCAACAATTTTACACCACCTCCACGACTCGAACCACAAACCACAGAGAATCAAAATCGAGATTTGCCAAAGAAGATTGATGAGGACAGTGTTGAGCTGCGATCAAGGTTTTTTTTTTCTGAATTTTTATCGAAATGAGAAAGCAGTTTCAAAATATTTCAGCCTCGATGCACCGCAGTCTCTAAAGTCGAACAAGCCAGGACCTGTTCTTCCACTTTCGAAATCCATAATGGAACAAAAAAAGGTTGCGCTGGGAATGACTCGAAATGCAGTTATAAAGAAGGTCGACAGTTCCAAATCGACAACCAAAAACTTCACTTGTGCTCCAAGAAGCGTTCAAATTCCAGCGTATACTGACAAGGCTCCGATGACTCTGTATTCGAATGTGAATGTAAGATTTCTTTTCGTTTTTCAAAGTCTTATGGAGTCTTTATTACAGAAACCAGGAGCATTTCACAAAGACGCTCGTGGAAGATGTGTTCGGTGTCGAGACAGAAGTCCAGTTGACATGTCGTCATTTAAATTTGTCGATGATTCAACTGTGATATCCGTTCGAGCACACTTGTGCGATCAAACACGTGTCATGATTGCGAGAACAGCCGTATGGAATCGAGAGTATTCGAAAAAGCTCGGGGATCGAGCAACAGGAACGGTATGGCAAAAGCCAGATGAGGTGACAGCTCAAATGACAGGATTCTGTAGTGCGACTGTTCGTCGTTGCATTGAAATCGCCAATTTGTCGATTGTACCGAGGTGTGCTGATCGGATTGGAGTTTCGGTGAGCGAAAAATTGAAGCAAAAATCTTATCGAAATTGTTTTTCCTTTCAGAAAAACGAACTAGCCTCCTTGAAATCTGCCTTTGAGAACGAAAAGTTTTTCGGACAAACAATGAGGACTCCTCATGTGCTGACCCATTATTATTCTGCGAAGTCCCAGAATTCAGCTAATAAAGGAACAACAAATGCTCATGGTCCTCCTCTGTTGCCTCGAATCGGTCGACCTCCGGCGCAGAAAGTGGACGAGGAAGAGGAGAAAAGACATCATCCTCTCACCAACTATCTACCATCCACAAGCTTGCAATCCACTTCACAGGAAACTTCTACTTCTCCTACAGATATTACAGTACCACCGCTGAAGAAAGGAGTACTCCGTTGGACATCCATTCAGAATCCAAGAATTCTGCGTACAGCTCACGCCCCATATCCACTCCCAAGAATGGCTGTGATTCCAGTTTTGAAGAAGAAAGATGTTGCTACTACATCTGAAACAGCTTCAACGTCTTCTGGCCCCCTAACGTATGTTCCACCCAAAAAGGAAACCAAGAAGGATCAAGCTGCTGCTCCAACTACTGGTCCACGGAAAAGAGGACGACCGAAGAAAGTGAAGCCAGCTGATGGAATTCCATCGAGATCAACTGAGATGACTTTGAGATCTCGTAAAAAAGAGGTGAACTTTAAAAACGAGCTTTTCAAAACCTTATATTTTCGTTCCAGATCCCAATTGATCAAGTGGTTCAGGGACTTGTACAATCTCTCATATCGAGGATCTCTGGAGAAGCCAGCGGATAAAAACCCATTCTCTGTTTTTAGATATTTCTGTATACCGCCTGCTCAATTATTGTAGCTCTCTCTTTTTATTGTTTTGTACCCCTCCACACAAACTGTTTTAAAATGATGTAGTTGGCTTTTATTCTTTTTCATGTGTGCTTTTAGCAATTATTCTCTGGAAAATAAAGTAGGAAAAGTTAAATTAGTAAGGCTGAATGCGATACTCGACTTCTGCGAATCCCCATCCCTTCTTTCCATCCACAACGTACTCGGCCATTCCTTCATTGACCTGACAAGCTTGATCTAACCCCATTTTGAAAGAGACCGCCTCTTTGATATGTACATCTGCATAGTGAGTTTTGCCATCGACTTCGAAAGAATAGTGGAAGTCATTTGGGAAGTCACGATCTTCTCCATGATTGGGAAGAGAGAAATGAACGCGATCAACTGGTTTCGTCTCGCCGTTTCTAAAAAAAGAATGTGAAATTGTTCAAAGGATAGAAGGAAGTCTTCCTTGGGAAGGCTTACGGTGTAACAATGTATCCGAATTCTAGATGACTGAAGACAGTTTCTGGCATTGAGATAACCGATGTGTGAATGCATGTTCCATCTTCCAAATGGTAAATCATCATGATGTATCTTCGAATATCCGACCATCTACGGAATCCAGCGATGGTATGATCTCTCATACTTGTCATTCTGACTCCTTTGGTCTCATGATCTCCTATTTTTACATCGCCAACAAGTTTTCCGAATTGTTCGTAATGTGTCTGATGAGAAGCTCTCATTTTGTCGAATAGTCCTCTGCTCCATGGTTCGATAGCTAGCGAATGAGCGATCGCTGTTGGCGAGCATTGCTTGTCGAAATCAAATTGGGCTCCTGAAAAGCTCTTGCTTGAGAAAAATTGTATTAAAGAAGTTTGAAAATACCGAAATTTGTCCATGTCAAGTCAAAGTTTGCATCGAAAAACTTGACATCATCCTTCATTTTTACGGCTCCATTTTTCTGAAAAATCAATTTTTTTTCTTTTTTCTCTGAACAATTATTTTTTCCTGACCACAAAATTCAGCTTTCCCGGAGACGAGGCCAGTTTTCCATTGAATCGAATTCTCCACTTTTTCATTGGTTCGATACAGGACACGATGAATCCACTTTCAGTCTTCCATTCTTTTTCGGAACAGCGGATGCTCTGAAAATTATAGAGAAGGGCCCCCTACGTTGAGCCAATTTATCTCAATTCCTGTCAAAGATATCCAAAACTTGTCAACTAATAAAATGTTTCTCAGAATGCCACTACTTCTTGATATATATCGCAGGAACCGAGATAGATCGGGTCAAAGTTAAGAGATCAGCCGACCATTTAGCTCGGCCGGCAAGCGCCGAACGTTTAACTTTGAATCTATATATCTCGTTTCCTGTAGAGCATTGAAAAAAGTTGTCAAATGACAAAATGTTACTCATAAAATCATCAATGTATTATCAGTTGACCACTATTTGATATCTCTCATAGAAACCGAGATAATTGAACTCAAACGCATAGGTTAAAATTTTGAGATACCTTGACATTGGTATCGGTGTGAAGTTCCTCATTGACAAAAGTACCGACTCCTGGGATACGAAGAATGAAAAACAAGTTGATGATGTCGTTTGGTCTTTGGGCGGTTCCAAGTGTGAAATACCATCCGTCACGGTTTGAGGCGTCGAAGAAGACGGCGTCGGCTGACCATTCCTGGAATACAGTATTTTTTTGGTAATGGGGGTCAAAAAACTAATCGAAGATATCACAAAGTGAACAACTAACAAAATACTTATCATAAGATCAATAATATTTTGTCAGTTGACAACTTCTTGATTCCTTTCATAGAAATTGAGATAACTGGGCTCAAATGGGGAATAACTACAAGATGATGATCAGGTTGTAACACTACGAAATAGCGATAAAATGTATTGATGGCAAAGATTTGATAACTTCGTTGATCTGTAAAAATCTGAAATCAGCTACCTGGTTCTGAAAATTTCAGGAAATGTAAAACAGAAAAAAAAAATTAACTTTTCTATTGTAAGCGCCATGGCGTTAGCTCAATTGTCCAAACAGAAAACTTTGAGCTCATTTATCTCGATTCTTGCAAGTGATATCGAAAAGTTGTCCACTGATCAAATGTTTCATAACATCACCAATATTTTCTTAATTGGCACATTTTTGATATCTCCTACAGGAATCGAGATAATTGAGCTCAACGCCGACGATTTGGACGGGCTTTTATTAGAGGGGATGTTCAATCAACTGGTACAACACTAGGGGACTCCCGGAACTTATGTTTCCAAATATTCTGGAATCTTTTACCTGTTTCATATCATGTTTCTTCTCCATCTCCTCAATGTCCCTCTCTCCTCCATCGCCTCCCCATTGTGAATTCATCAAATTCTCTTTGTTTTTGGATTCAGAAGAGTCCCCCTTCTTCGTTTTCTTTTGACGGCGATCAATGATGAATCTCATCAGATGGAACTTCAAGAAGTACCATTTTCCAGGCTGCCCATAAATGTTTAGAAGTTTCAATGGATCTGGTCGGAAAAGGAATTGCAGAACTAGATAAGCGACTGCGCCCAGGCCAAAAGCCACCAAGAATGAGAATGCCATGGCTGAAAAGAAATCAATAAGGAAAAAAGTCAAACATAAGAAAACTGAAAGAAATAAAACATGCTGATGATGGCAAACCGAAACCCGAAAGTGTGGAAAAAGTGTTCGTTATCACTGATTGACTATGCCTATATAGATAGCTGATAACTGATTATCAAAGTGTGCTCTCTGACTATATATGTGCCCTCGGAGGACCTTGTCCTCTTTTTTTCCTTTTTTTGAAACCCACATCACCCGACATTACGGAATCTTCCCAACCGGTTGGACGGCGTTTGTTTGCATTCAATTAATGATCTTCTGGAAGGTTTTTGAGTGGAAAGGAGAGGCTGAGAATGAGAAGAAGAAGAAAACTATCATTTATTATTCAGTTTATATTCTGGAAGACTGGATTTTCCTATTCTTCTGACTATCATCACTATACACTCATCAGAAGACGTCATTTTTGTTCAATGATAAATCACCAGCTACCATACCTTCAGTGACTCAAGATAACGTTATTCAAACTTTTCAGAGAACTGAAGCTAATTTTGATAGTTTTTCGGGTTTCAAACGGCATACCTCATTTGAACAAATACAGTAATACCTGTAATAGAAGGACCCCCTAACTTCAAACCTTTGAGCCAATTTATCTCGGTTGATGTGAAAGATATGAAAAAAAAGTCAACTGATGAACTGTTTGTCATAATACTAAAAACTTTATGAATTGACAAGGTGTTTATATGTATCTTTGATAGGAAATGAGATATACAAGCTCGAAGTTAAAAGTCAGGCGCCCTTCTGTTACAGGTTTTACGATATTTATTCTAAAAAAAAATCTTGAGTCACTGAACGTATACGGTAACTCAAAATGTATCGTACCGTAAATGCTTTAATAGAAGCACACTCTATACATGCACTTCGAGCTCAATTTGCTCGCTTCCTTCGAAAAACATCGAAAGGTTGTCAACTAGACGATAATTGATCGGACAAAATACCACAATTTCTATGAAAAAGTTTCCCTACTCAATCTGAAAAAAATAGAAATCTCAACGGAGCGTCTGGAGCAAGTTTCTGAAAGTCAAAAAAAAACATTTTTTTAAGCGGCAATAGAAGATTTTTCGGTGTTTTTTTTGAAACGAAATTTCTCTTTTCATCTCTACCATAACTTTTTGAAGAACTTTTTTATCTCTCCCATCTTTGAACATTCTGAAAAAATTTTTTGGTTTAAGTAAAATTTTCAATATTTTTCCTCTTTGGTCCATCGTGAGAAATTCAACGTTGATTGGGTTTAGTTTCGCTATACCACTCAGTGGGCGGTATATTGAACAACTTGAACTTTATAAATATGTACAGTACTCTTCTTCTTGCATGAGATCAGAAACTAACCAACGTTTCTTTATCAATGATACGCCCTTTTAACCAGTTTTTGATATAAATTGACCTTCATCTTTTCTTCTTCTACTTTTTTCATTTGCAACCGATTCAGTACAAGTCACAAACTATTTAATAACAATCACAAAATTCAAAATTCGATCGCTGATAGGAGAAAAATAACAAAATTCCATTCTGATATTCGGTTTCAATAATTTCCTGGTGCTTGTGGAAAATAAAATCGTATCATTCAAACAACCAAGTTGATAACAAACTGATAAAAATTGGTCTTTTTTTCGTTTTTTTCCCCCACCACTTTATTGTTTAGTGCACTTTTTTCGCATACATGTAAGAACCACGATTTTTTCAGAATTATTCTCTTGTTGTCTATTTGAGCACGAAGAAAAGATTATTCTAAAAAATATTCTTTCAATTCTCCTGTCCATTCTCGAATCCATCAAACGTATCCTTTTGGAGCGCCCCATTCTCTATTTCTTTTCTCTTTGCGACGCCCATTTCCGGATGAGAGACGTCTCCTTCTTCTGTCTCTTCAGATGAATAGGTATCGGAAATGTGCGGTTCCCATAGTATTTCTCTTCTTCTTCTTCTCTTTTCCCGACATTATTCTCTTCTCCTTATTTTCTCCAATTTTCTTTAGGGAGCCGTGGGATAATTCTTTCTATCTATCTACCTCAACTTTCAGCTTTACAACTTCTTTGCCTTCTGAATCGAGAAATCGGCAAAAATGGACTCAGAAAAGTTGAGAGAGGAAGGAAAAAAGATGATAGATTTTGTTGCGGATTATTGGGATGGAATTCGTGATCGGAAGCCACTTCCAGCAATCAAACCAGGATATATTAATGAGTTGGTGAGTAAGGTTTGATTGCTAAAAATTTATATTCTTTCCTAGCCATGGTCCCGTTGGAGGCGCAATTAAAGGCGCAAGAGCGAACTACCGTATTTTTTGAGCCAATTTTTCCCATTTTTCGACGATTCAATCATATTTAAAATAGGCTCAAAAATACGGTAGTTTGCTCTCTAATTTAGTTTCATTCATTTCCTATACAGGTACACAAAAATCTGAGCTGAAAACCCTATTTTTCTTCGATTTTTCGCAAAATTTTTAGACCTTTTAAAGTTTTTCAGCTATTTTTAAAGGTTCTTTTTCGATTTTTCCTGTTTCTTTTGTCTGAAATTCGATGGAATGGTATTTGATTGTTGTAAATTACTGTAGATTAATTTTAATTAATTTGTTTATTGATCAGGTGTAATAAAACATTAGAGGGCAGGACATGAAAGACTCAGAAAAAATGCCCCTCACGAGGCCGATCTGAGTAGGGGAGGGGAAACGGGATAATTTAGATATTTGACACAGGAAAGATGTAACCGGTAGAAAAAGAAAAATAGGGAGCAAATATATCAATAACGGGTAATACTGGAAGAAATTAAGGATTCAAACTCGGAAGGTAGGAGAAATCGGGTAACTTGGGAAGTGATGGCGTTCCACAGGGGAACAATTATAGAAAAATAGTCAGAGGAGTAGGGCTGAACAATAATTAAGTTCATAGGGCGACGAGGGGAGGAGGAGTATTTGACATGTGCATTTAGGTTAGGAAAGTAGGCAGAGCCATTTAAAAATTTATAGAGAAGAATTAGTTGAGCTTTTAGCCTACGATGTCGAATGGAGAACATATTGAGGATAGAGAGACGATCAGAATAGGAACTGTACTGGATATTACAACGCTGGAAAATACACTTAGAGAAAAATCTTAAGGGAGATTCTAGTTTTAGAGCAAGGCGAGAAGAAGGCGGAGGGGAATAAACTACAGAACAATATTCAAAAATCGGGAGAACATAACATTTGAAAAGATGAATGTAGAATTCTGGAGACTTAGATCTAAATTACTTTAAGAGTTGTTTGGAACGGAGAAGAGCTGGAACGGAACGGAGAGGAACGGAGAAGAGATGTGATTTTGTTGATGTGAGCAGAGAATTTGAGAGAGGAATTAGTAATGAGTCCCAAGTTCCGGACGGAGGAGGAGGGAGTAAGTGTGACACCCGCAATATTGAGAGGATGGGAAGAATTATGGGAACCTAGGCGAAGAAGGGCAGTTTTAGAGTGGGCAAGAGGGAGATGGTTGGCGGTAGCCCAATTTACAACCATGTTGATACCAGTTTGAAGGGCGATTGGGTCATGAGAATACAATTTGATATCATCAGCAAAGGCGGCAAGGTGAAGAGAGGGGATTTGTTCAAGTTCTAAGAGCAGATCATTGATGAATATGAGAAATAGTAAGGGACCGGAGACTGATCCTTGAGGAACACCAGAGAGAATGACAGAGGAAGGGGGTCCAATAAAATCATAGATTTTGACAGAGAACGTTCGACCAGAGAGAAACGAGGAGAACCAAGCTACGTAAGATTTAGGGACTCCAAAGCTAGCAAGTTTCTGGATGAGAAGTTGATGATGTACCTGGTCGAAGGCTTTGCGGAAATCGAAAAAGACGACGTCTAGTGTATTGTATTTCAAAAGAGTAGCTTTATAATTCGAAAAAGATTGAACTAGAGAGGTGGTGCAGGATCTGTTGGAGAGAAAACCATGTTGAAGACTACTGAATTGATGGACGAATTCCCATTTGACGGGATCACATACCAATCGTTCGAAAATTCGAGCGAATGGGTCAGTGAGCGAAATGGGGCGATAGTTTTCGGGCGATGAAGGAGAACCCTTTTTTGGTATGGGAACGACTACTGCGTGTTTCCAAGAGTCGGTTACATGTGACGTGGAGAGTGAGTCAGAGAAGATAATCGATAAAGGTAATGCTAGAGTGGTGGCGCATTTTTTAATGATAAAGTAATTGGCCGAATGGGGAGAATAGCCACAATGAGGCGGGAGTTTGCGAAGAAGCTTCTCAATTATCCAGGGATCGAAGATTTCAAGGTCAGAGCCAGAAAAAGGAAGATGCTGATGACTTATTGCGGGAGTGATGGATGCGGATGAAGTGAGATGATTATAATTAGAAGAGAATGTTTTGGTGAAAAGGGTGGATTTTTCGTGTTCAGAGGTTATAAGACAGCCATTAGCAGAAAGAGGTGGGACTTTAGGTGAAGATCTAATTCTACTTTTGATGAGGGCGCGGGCAGCACGACAGTGTGGGGCTGAGAGGATTCGGAATTCGTCACTTACCATTTTCCTATTGATTGTTCGAGTGAGAGATTTGATACGAGTTCGAATATGGAGAATTTTCCTGGGAGCCGTAGTTGGAGTTTTAAGAAGCTTGGAGTAGAGGTGCCTTGCCCGTTTAAGCTTTCGAAATGGTAGAGAAAAGGGTTTGGATTTGGGTGGAGGAAGCAGAGGAGTATGATTACGAATAAGTGTGGAAAGAATATGCTGAGGGAGCGCAAATTGCATTTCTTGAACCATAAATGAGGGCGAGATATGGATGATAGAGGAGTGAGAGTGGTAGGAAGAATGTGGAACTTGACGGCAAAGTGGTCAGAGTTAAGCAGTGGAGGCTCGACGGCGACGTTAGAGAGAGGAAGATCATCAGAGGAGATTACAAGGTCCAGAATGTTAGCTGAGGTATCGGAGACCCGAGTTGGGAAACAGACATGTTGGTGAAGACCTCTAGAAGTGAGAAAAGATACAAACTGATGATTATGGTTAAGGGGATTCCAAGATAAACTGGGGAAATTAAAATCAAGAATGGAGGAATCAAGAGGGAGGAACTTATCTAGATGAGCAATGAGGGAGGAAGTTTGAGAAGTAGAGGAGTCAGGTGGCCTATAAACTAGGACAATAGTGAAAGAAGAGAAGGAAGGAACATTAGAGGGATACGATGAGGACGGAGACACAGAGCAAGCTAGTATTTCTGAAAGATGAAGAGGATAATGACGGTCCATGTTAAGAGGAAGAGTCGAGAGTGAAATGGTCGGTTTAAATAGGAAAGCAACCCCACCTCCTCTTTTTTTGTGATGAACAAGAGGGTCTCTGTCGACACGGAGAATCTCCAGTCCACGTTGATGGAATAGAGAAGAGGAGATGGGGTCGTCGAGGAAAGTTTCGGACAAGGCGAGGAGATGTTGAGAAGAGGAGGCAAAAATATCAATAAGGAGATGATTTTGGAGATAGTGGCTACGCCTCTAACGTTAGCAAGTAAAACCTTAATGCACATGTCATCATAGTTCGAGACAGTCAAAGGGGGAGAGGGACGGAGTGGAGACGAGAGAGGTGCAGATGGAAAGGAAGTATAGAGGTGCAGATGGAAAGGAAGTATAGAGGTGCAGATGGAAAGGAATAGAAACTCTGGACTGTTTGGTGGGACGGGAAGAGGAAGCTGTGACAAACGTGGGGGTTGGAAAAAGGGAAAGAAACAGTGCAGGCACTTACACAAAAGTACGTGGCTTATCATTGAGCTTGTAGTGGATATCTTGCATAATGTACTTGGTGGTCTTCGCCTTCAGGTTCTCATCGTATACGAACTTTCTGGATGCACGAAGGGTTTCGAGTTCGGAACGGGCCAGGTCACGGCGGGCTCTGAGTTTGGGCTCGATGGTGTTCAGGAGTGGCTCGTCGTTCTTGATCTTATTGAATCCTTTGAGGAAGGTGTCACGTTCGGATTTGGAGGAGAACTGCAATTTGAGAGGACGGAAACGAGAAGAGCAAACGTGACGATACACCTGTGATGGGATTGGAAGCGAGTGCTTATTAGCGATGGCGGCAATGAGTTCAGAGTCTTTTTGATCTTGATTTGGGGATTTATCATCAGGGGCACGTTCGATCACCGCTCTAGTAGACTTTTCCAAGAGTTGATAAGCCTGCTTAGCGATTTCAGAAGGGTCGACTGGAGCTGAAGTACGCTCAGCAGAGGTAGTCATGGAGGACAGGACAGCATTGGCGAACGATTTGGTAGAGGAAGAGGGAGCGGGAGTAGAGACGGCATCGACAAATACTTCAGAAAGAGCTGAGACAGGAGGTCCAAGTTGTCCATCTCGGATTTGTTGGATAATGTCGGTTAGAACAATTACGTGCTTGTGCATTGCCAGATAATCGTCATATGCCACAAACAGTGGAGGCTCGGAGTCCAGGCTCGAATGAAATTTCCTCTTGGCCGGAGGCGCCATGGCAGACATGGCGATGATGGCAAAAAGTTAGCGAATAATAGATACGGGACGGGTGCCGGGAAGGAGAGGGGGAGATCGAATGAGGGGGATTACTACAGTAAAATTGAAACCTAATTTCCGTTTTCAGTTTTTTCTGCAAACACAACCACGTCAAAATGCAGATAAAAACGGTATTTTCGTCTGTATTTTGACGGGAAAAACAACAAAATACACGGGTTTCTACAGTAATCTACAGCAATCTACAGTAATCAACAGCAATCTACAGTAATCAAACACCGTTTCATCGCATTTCAGACAAACAAATCGGAAAAATGGAAAGAGAATCTTCGAAAATAGCTGAAAATCCTAAAAAGGTCTAAAAATTTCGCGAAAAGTCAAAGAAAAAATCATTTGTTTTCTCGATTTTCTTGCAGTTTTCATTAAATTGAGTTTTTCAAAGAAAATAACTGAAAACTCGACGAAAATAAGTGAGAATCTAGAAAATGACCACAGAAAATAAACACATTTTTAGGTTACGGTAGTTGTCGTTGTGAGATTTCCGGCCATGCCCACCGGCGTTAGTCTTCCACAGCTTCTTTTTTTTTGTACCAGAATGATACATAGCTTCTAAATTATATTTTCTCAGGTCCCTGCCCAAGCCCCATCTTCCCCGGAAGATTGGTCCAAAATCTTTGACGACCTCGAGAATGTGGTCCTCAACGGAGCCACTCACTGGCATCATCCTCATTTCTTTGCCTATTTTCCAACTGGTCTCAGTTATCAATCAATCATGGCAGACATCCTTTCCGGCGGAATCGCAGGAATCGGCTTCACCTGGAAATCGTGTCCTTCGATGACCGAATTGGAGATGTCGTCGCTAGATTGGGTTGTCGATTTGATGGGATTACCAGAGCATTTCAAAAACTCTCATGATGGACCAGGATGTGGAATTATTCAGAGCACTGCTTCGGATAGTACCATGATCGCCATCATGGCTGCAAGAGCGTCTCATGTGGAGAGAATTAAAGCGGAACCAACTTTTATGAAATGGGTTTCGGAAACTGGAGTTGGAAAAACTCTGAGGGGAATTTTTGATCGAGTCAAAGTCAATAAGGTTAGTGAGATACTGGGAAAACTATATAGAATACCACCCACCCGTCATATCTCATTTCCAGTAAATGATGTCAAGAAGTTGTTAACCGACAAAATGTTCATTATAATGTCAAAAATATTTTTGCTGTTAACTACTTTTCAATATCATTTACAGAAACAGAGATAAGTTGGTTCAAAGTTAAAAGATAGAAAAGTGTTCTATTCGAGGTTTTACGATAGTTCGGAAGTGTAGTAGATGTTCGATAGCAATTAATTTTTGTTTGTCAGAACGAGTTTGAAAAATAATTATGCTTTGTAGACATTGGTTTCCCCAGCTTCGGTTACTGTAAGTTGCGATTTTTTCCTGTTGTAATGGTGATTGATTTTGTGATTCCTTATAGTACCCTGTCAAAACATCTAACAAACCTTAAAACCTTGATTCACTGGTTCAAACTTTTGCAGATTGATGACGAAGCATCTGGAATCATTGCTCCATACTTCCATGACCCAGCTGTCTTTGAGAGATTCGTCATGTACTGCTCTGACCAAGCTCATTCTTCTGTTGAAAAGGGAGCGATGCTCTCTGCAGTACGTCTTCGGAAGCTAAAAGCTACTAGAGGATTTCTAGGAAACTATGGGGTCACCAAAAAGACCCTTCAGAATGCTATCAAAGTAAGATCACTAAAAATAATCCCTCCTTTCATTGAACCATGATATCCAGGAAGACCGTGCTCGCGGCTACATCCCATTCATTTTCCTGGCCACCGTGGGAACCACTTGCTCTTGCGGAGTAGATCAAATCGACGAACTAGGACCAGTATGTGTTGAAGAAGGATTATACCTCCATGTGGATGCTGCCTATGCTGGAACCTTCGCTCTATGCGACGAATTCAAATATTTGACTCGTGGAATGGAACACGTCGATTCCTTCAATTTCAACCTACACAAGGCTGGAATGATAAACTTTGATTGCTCACCAATGTTTTTCAAAAATGGAACTCATGTCTCTAGATACTTCAATGTTGACGCTATCTATCTGGCTCACGAGTACCAGTCAACTGCTGCGGATTATAGAGTGAGAGAATTACAAATAGGCTTGAATAATATTTTCAAAACCTTTTCAGCACTTGCAAGTGGCTCTTGGTCGCCGATTCCGATCTTTAAAGATCTGGTTCGTCCTCAGGAATATGGGCGCTGATAAGATTCGAGAGTATTTGAGAAGAGTGAGTAAAACATTAAAAATATCAGGGTGGGAAAATGATTCAAACTTTTAGACCGAACTTTTGGCTGCCGAATTTGCGAAGTTGATTCTGGAGAATGGAAAATTCGAGCACTTTGTTCCCCAACACCTCGGATTGACCTGTTTCAGGTTGAAGAATGTGAGTTAATCACCATAGAATTCTCTGAAAAATCAAATTTTCAGTCCACCAACGCTGACAACGAAAAACTGTGCAATGCCATCAACGATGACCGTCGTATTCATTTGGTTCCATCCACAGTCCATGGAACTTATTTCCTCCGTATGGTTGTTTGCAGTCAACTGACAACTCTTGATGACGTCATCTACGGTCGTGACGTCATCTTTGAAATCGCCGACAGATTATTCTAATTGCTTCCTGTATCTATTGCTTTTTTCTGCTATCTGTCATTTCATCCCCCTATATGTAGAACATTTTACCTGCTCTTTTTAAGATCGACAAAAAATAAATGGATAATTAGAGATATTAGGGTGCAGGTGTCAGGAAGTAACAGTTATGTAATAGAACTATGGAGATTACGGTGAGAACAATTAAAGGGACACAGGAGTATTGGTGGACAGATGTCTGGTACAGTGGAGGATATCCGGAAGATATGTAGACAACAAGAATTTTTAGGAATAGAGTGACCTAACTTTCATAACATGCGTTTTTAGGCCACCGCAGTTGGAGGTCCAGAAATGGCCTAACATGCACCTGATTCTTTTTAGGTCATTTAACTTTGTTGCCTAATTTTCGCATTTTGAATTTTCTAGGCCACCACTTTTTCGGGTTGAAAATGGCCTGACATGCATCTGATGTGTTTTCTAGGTCATTTGACATGGCGGCCTAACTTTTCCAATCTCAGTTTTCTAGGCCACCAACTTTTATGGCCTATCAATGACCTGATATTTATTTGTGGGTTTTCTAGGCCATTTTATCGTGATGGCCTAGAAAACGAGAAAGTTAGGCCACCATGTAGAAATGGCCGGAGGAGAATATTGTGGGGGTGATTCCAGGTAGCAAAACAGCTTGATTCTCAGAGTAGCACGAAATCAGCAATTAATATTTTCTTTTAACTTTTTTTGGAATATTTTTCATGGAATCAAGCGAAAGCTGGAAATCAGAAGTTTCGAAGTTTGGAAGTCGAAATTCGGAAGACTCAGAAAAACTAAGATTTTTGGAAACTGCCGGAATTTGACATTTTCCAAAAGTGTTTTTGAAAGCCTTTGTTTTTGAAATTGGCCGCTACTCTTATATTTTCACACATGAGCTCAATTCCTCAAAAACCTTCCATAGGCAAAAATTCCTTCAAAAAAAACAAACAATGAAGTTCTCAAATACTTTATTCACTTCCAAGGAAACATGAAATTATTTTCCTCCTGGCTTTGGAGCTCCGATGATGATTCCGGATCCATATCCTCCATTGCTATATCCTCCACACTTCTTTCCACCTCCGATGTTGATGATTCCGGAAACGGAGGAGACAGCCAAAATGGCGAGACGAAGACAGAGTAAACGTTCATAGTTGAATAGAAAATGTTCAGAGAAGATCTGATGCTCTAGGCGACGAAGAGCGAGGTTCTTATACCCCAACCCCGAAGAAAATTTTATGGGCGAAACTGTAAAAGTTGGGTTAAAACTTGCAAAACTTCAAGTTTATTGCCGAATTTCTTGAAGTTTGAAACTTTGAAACTTGAAATTTTCGAATTTTCGAATCTTTTTCTGAATTTTTGAGTTTCCGAATTTCGATTCTGTGGATTTTCTAGTTCTGAAATTCTAAGTAAGTTATGCCCAATCTTCACCCAATCTTTGAAGGTCTCAAAAAACAAGAAAGCTACGGGAAAATTACCATCACAGTTCAGTGATACATCATGTGAGATCATGTGTTTCATTGGATAATTTTTTGTCTTTTGCAAATCATTCTTACTTGCCACTGACAAAATCAAAAGTTCATTCATACGGTAGTTTCAGAAATTTGGAAATTGAAAAACTCGAAAATTAGAAAATTCCGGAAATTGGAAATTCAGAAATTCAGAGATTCAGAGATTCAGAAGTTCAGTATTTCTAAATTCTAAAACTCGGAAATCTAAGATATTGGGAACTTAAAAATCCAAAAATCCGAAATTCCGAAAATCCAAAAAAAACTTCAAACATTTGAGCATTGGAGAATTTCCGAAACTCAAAAATTCAAAGTTTTACAAAAATCCGGAAACTTGAAAATTTAAAAATTCAGAAATTCAAAATTTCAGGAACTCAAAAACTCAAAAAACTGAAAATTTGAAATCCTAAGTTTTACACAATTCCGGAATATTCCAAATGTGGAAATTCAGAATATAGAAAAAAAAATCATCGAACTGAAAAATTGAAAAGCAAAAACAACAACGAATTTTCTCGAACTCTTTACTTAAAACATCAGAAAACTCAAAAAAGAGTAATCATGTATGGCTTCGATTGGGGGTGATGAATGGTGATGGTCTCTGTTTGATCTCGTCGTCGCATGGAACCTATCCATCGAGCTTGTATCCTGGCAGAGCCTTGCGACAGAGCACAGTGACACTCGATGCACATGCCGGACCACGGGCAGACACTTCCTTTCCACCGTATCCGTATCCGTACGATTCGTTACGAACATCAACCTTGGCCAGGATCTGTTTTCCACCAGCAAGATTGACGACTCCAACGGAGATGTCTCCCTTGTGATTGTTCACGTGCACTGGCTTCCAGGTCTTTCCTTCCTCGAATGTGGCTGCTTCTGGGAATGGAATCCATCCGTATTCGTATCCAACGACATGGGGTCCAAGGCGGACCAGCAATTGCATCGAACCAACGTTCTTGCTGTATTCTTTGTTGAACCAGGAGAAGTTGGCAGCAACCTGCAAGAAATTGTAATTTAGTACATAACGGATCTCCTAAATTATGGTTCCTTAATTACAGATTCAAAACTACGGGCAAGGGAAATTTATGGTAGTAACATGTAAGGAAATTATGGACGCTATGAATCCAACTGGAACCATGACATATTCTACACATCTTACAATAACCTGGACAGTTAGGGTCCCAGATAGATTTCAGATAAAATTAGTAATCTAGGGTACCGTAGACAAAGAATATCCAAACACAAAACACTATAAACTATGGTTCCAAAACTATGGTACCTGCTATGGCACCCACTATGGTATCATATTTCTCCCAGTCGGCCCCTACAAACCTTTCCATTCTCGTTCCAGACACGACCCATAACCGGTTCTCCTTGCATGTACCACAGAGCGACATATTGATCCGGATTGACGCCAGGAAGCGTATCCAAAGTCTTGTCCAACGCCTGAACCAACTTGCGAGTGGGGAACGGATCTCCCTCGCGAATATCGATCCATTCGTCGTGCATGACACGTGGTGGTGGTGGACCCGGTGGTGGGATTGGTGGTGGTGGCGGTGGCTTCGGACAGTTGTCACATTCGCAGTGTGGTGGTCCACCAATGCAGTTACGAGTGATGATGAACATCTCATTGAGCTGTGGTCCCATCTGCTTGATAACTTTTCCATTGTATGAGAACCAAGCCTCCTCGGTTTTGTTGTCAACGTAGCCGAGAAGATTTCCTTCCTTTCTCTTCCAGAAGATTGGGAAAGAGTCTCCACAACGGACGAGCTGATGCTTGTCGTCGAGCTTCTCAATGCGATCCTTGTACTTGATCCATTCGTACCAGAAACCTGTAAATATTATATGTTTCTGGATTCCTTTCTAGGATTTCTACCTTGGCTGTTGTGGTCTCCAACGTACTGAAGCACCTGAATCTGTCCCTCCAATTGTTGCTTGGTGGTCAGTTCAGCCTCCTTGTACGGGAACGAACACTCGACGACTCCTCCGTTGTTCCACGAGCGACCATGAATTGGCTTTCCGTGTTTGTACCACAAGGCCACATACATATTCTGCTCCCCCATACATTTGACTGGACTAGGTGGGAACGGCGAACCAATCGGTTGGAACGCCCACGTGTCCTCTTTCGGCGGTGGATTGGGTTTCGGCGCCATCACAAGATGTTGATAACGTCGATCGTTGGAGTTTGGCTGAAATTATCAGTTCCAAGATGACGAGATCTGACAAAATCAGCGCCTTTTATGCAGAAAGATAAGGATCTAGCCTGGTTTGGACAAAATAGGATACGCGGGAATTCAAAATTATGGTTTTTTTCTGGATATTTTCTCTGGGTCACGTAGCCGAAGGACAATAGTTAAATTTCTGAGGAATGGTGCTGAAAAATGAGATACAGTAACCTCTATTTGGAGGTTTTGAAATTTTGACATCCCGAAGGACTGTTAGAATCTGAAATTCTGAGATTGTGAGCTCCCAAGATTTCGAAGTTCCATGATTCGAAGAAATTCAGTTTTTGGGATTCCGGGGCAAACTGAGATTCTGAAATTAAATCTGTCGTTACTTTGATCATCTTGAAACTAAATTCTATCAGATTGACGTACGATTCAACTGTATGCATTCAAGCAAATTCATGTAAAACATCTGCTCGATGAGTTTATAAAAACCAAAATAGAATTTTTTTACTTACCAGAGTAAACATGTCAGAATACATATTTTCATAATTTTTGTGCCAAGTCAAGCTGAAAGTATGTTTCTGACATGTTTTGGTACACTGGTTTTAATTTTTTGCAGGTTTCATTATAACGGTGTTTGATACTAAATATGATAATTATGAGAAATACTATAGTAGTTTCTATGTATTATTCTGGTACAAAAAATCGGAGGCTGTGAAAAAGAAACGGCGAAGTTAAGGTCCTACAACAGCTACCGTAACCTGAAAAATATATTTTTTCAGGATTCATTTTCTCGCCGTTGTGTGACAATCAGTCTCGGCCACCAGCGTTTCTGCTCCGATTTTATTGTATTAAAGTAATTGATTCACTGTTTTCTCCAGACTGAAAATATCAGAAATGAAGCTCTATATTTGTTTTATGCTTTGCATCTTCAGATGTCCTTTTCCATGAATCCTTCACCCTCACCTGTTGTCTAATTACCCTAAAAGGTCTCTCTTTCATTTGACTCTCCAATTATGTCCTTTTTGTAACCCCTTCCGTAATATATCGTGTCCTTTTCCGTAAATGTCCATCTGTCTCCAATTTAAACCTTTTTTGGTATCTACTTCTATTTGAACAGCAGCCGCTAATGCTCTGTTCTCGAATCTTTTTGAAACAAGTGAACTTTTTTCGAGTGAGGAAGTACCAGAAGGTACAAATGACAGCTGCATTTCGAGAAATGTTTTCTGATAAGAATAAGGGCATTGAGTCACAGAAGACAAAAAGAGACAAATGAAAAAGGTTTGCGTTGTGAGCAGTTTTTATTATCTTGGGAAATAGGTTATTGGTGAACAATGGAAAAATGGATAACATCTTTGTATCTTCAGAATAATGTAATATCCGAAGAAGTGTAAAATTTTGGGATAATTAGGAAATTATGATAATCTGATATTCTAAAATTCTGAAATTCTGCCATTCTACCATCCTGAAGTCGTGAAGGTCTGAAATTCTGAAGATTTGTGGAATTTTAGGACAATTCTGATATCTGAAACTTCCATATTAACCCCAAGGCTGACGGAATCAGGGCCGCGGGTATGTTACCGTGGACCAATCAGTTCGTTCATTCGAAAATAAGCTCAGTCAGCCAAAAACTATCAGGGCCGCTAGGCCGCCGAATCCTACCAATGCCAGAAATAGCCGAACGAAAAAAGCCGCGGCCCTGATTCGACAGCCTTGATTAACCCTCAAATGAGTTCTAATTTGTTTGAGAATCTTTTTTCAGTCATTTTTGTCCAGGTGTGTGCACTGACTTGATGACGCGACACCGAAAATCTTGACTTATCTTGGTCAGAAAAATGATCTGAAAAATGTTTTTCTCAAAAAAAATTTTTTGGTTCATCTTGACTTGGCACGAAAATCAAGATCCATGTGCTAATATGTTAACTGTAGTGTGGACATGTTGACAAGAAAATTTGCAGGAATCACGTTTCGTTTTGGAGTCAAAAATATCTTCGAATTCAGAAAAGTCATATGTTGGTTTCCTCGGAATCTCAATATTTCAAATTTCCTAATTCTTCTAATTGAAACAATCATAAATTTTCGATTCTCACCAAACCCTTCTACTCAAAAAAACATATTTTGATTCTCTTATACCTCAAAAAGGTACTTTGTGTTCATTCCGACTACAATGAGTTTGACCTTATTCCCGAGGTAGTTGTGTTTTGATTGTTTGTTCCCCAATCACCGTTTCTTCTTGTTCCTCCCTTGTGCAAACCATCACTCATTCTTTGAGCTCAAAGCGCTGCTCAAGTTTTTGAGTTTTTTACTGCACACTGGGTGGTTGGAGATGTATTACACTGAAGTAAGAAGGACCCTTTTAACAAAATGAGAAGGTTGTTTGGTGGGATGAATAAGAAAAAGAAAAAGATGAAGAGGAGGATAGTGTAAAAGTGCAAGAACGAAACAGCAAGGAGAGCATGTGAATAGCAACATCCATGAGCTTTTAAGGGTTAAGAGAAAGAGAATATGGGAAAACAACTATAAAATCTGTAAAGTTCTTCTAAAATGGTTCAGGAATGTAAATTGAGCAATTTCTATCAACGTTTGCCGCAAAATAGAAGACCCCCACAAATTTTGAGAGAATTTATCTCGGTTCGTTGTCACCTATTAAAATATAGGTGATATTATGATAAACAATTTATCAGTTGAAATTTTTTAAATATCTTTCACAGGAATCGAGATAATTGAGCTCAAAGTTAAGATGTTGGTAGCCGACCGCGCAGCTTCGCCGACAAAGGCTGACTTGTCAACTCGGAGCCAATTTATCCGATTCCTATAAGAGATATCAAACATGTGTTAACTAATGAAATGCTTGTGATATTTTGATAAACAATTTATCAGTTAACCACTTGTTCTTATCTCTCACAGGAATGGAGATAAATTGGCTCAAAGGCGGAAGTTAGGGAGCCCTTCTATTAGAGGTTTACGGTAAATGGGTCTTTCAAAGATCTTTCTTTCTGAGCAGAATTTTTCAAACAATCACAAAATTTTATAAGCTTAAAGTCATTTAAACCGTATGGAACCCTTTTTTGTATTTCTGAAAGTTTGTTGAAATTATATCCACACTTCTGGTTCTAGAAAAAAGCCCCTGAAAGTATGGATTCTGCCCTTTAGCCTTCCAACAATCTCTTTTTGTTTTTTCCCAAATCGGATGTTTTTGTTTTCCTTTTCTCCCTTTTTCTCTATTCTCTCTCATTCTCCTACCATTGACTGTTAGTCCTTTTTGCATTTTTTCTTTTCATGTAATTTAAAATTTCCGGTATTATTTCTTTCTTTTTCTCTTTCTTCAAATCATCCTTCTTTCCTTATACGGTCAGATTCTTTATATTATACTTTCCAGATTCTATCTCTAAAAGTGTATCGGAGATTTCTTCGAGATAGATCTCTACGCTTGTCCGCGCGAAAACTAGTTACCCAATTCGAAAAATACCATGAGGGCGATAGCTAGGCGTGCGTTGACCTTGATTTGGTTTTTAAATTTTCTTTTTAAATTCAGCTGGACCTGGTGGCACCGATGTGTGATCCCAAGAATCAAGGGTTTAGGCTTTAAAAACTCAAATCTGGGATTCAAAAAAATCGGATGAAGATTGGGATTTTTAAAAAATCTCTCTCAAAAATTAATGAAAAAACCACACTATTATTCTGGTACAAAAGAATCGGAGCGGTGGAAAAGAATCACCGGTGGACATAACCGAAGGTGCCACAGCGACAACTACAGTAACCTAAAAAATTGGTTTTTTGGGGGAAAATAACATAAAAAGCAGTGAACAACGAGAAAAAAGAACAGGAAAATAACATATTTAAGGTTACGGTAGTTACTGTTGTGGGACCTTCAGCCAAGGCGTTTCTTGGCCAACATTCTGACTTTTTTGTACCATTTTAATGAATATAATTCTTTTTTAGACTCTCAAAGTTAGCTATTCTCACTAAACTTCAAAATTCGCAATTTTTCCTGAAAAAAATTCTGTATGAAATTTTAGAAATTTTTTTCGAAATTTCAATATTTTTTAATTGAAAAGTAAAAAATTATGTGATTATATTATTTAAATTGAACCTCGATTAATTAAAAAATTATTTTCTTATCAATTAAAATCTATTATGACCAGCGTTAATTTGACAAACACCAAGTCTCAAAGATTAGAAACCTGACGTATTTTCAAAACCAGGAAGTTAAAATCTAACAAATTTCCGTCCAAAAACCTTCTGAAATTTTCGCTCCACCATTCAACCACACCTCACGTGGGTGGTGGTGCTCCCTCACCTCGCTCTGAAATTCAGTCATCTGCAAAAATCGAACGGGTGTGGGAAAAAGAGAGAGAGATGGGAGAAGAAGAGAAAAGTTGGTGAAAGAAAGCATAGAAGAGATTATAGGGGAACAAGAAATAGAGAGATAGAGAGTAAACGGAACATTGAAGAGAGAGGGAGAGAGAAAAAGAAAAAAGAAAGAACTGAATATACAGCCAAACGGACAGCGGCATCATCTGGCAAAGCCGTTGGGCGAGAGAGGGAGAGACGCAGACACTACCTCGTGGTTGGAATACTCTCTTCAAGAGAAGCACTCTTTCTTCTCTTCTTTTGCGACCCGAACACACAACAGCTCACAATGCCCGGGCACATCGACTAAATGATTAGAGAAGCGCGCACCGTGGGCTGTGGAAAATGCGCGAAAAGAGAAAAGAGAGAGAGAGAGAGAGGAAAGGACACCCATACCATTCCGAATTTTAAGTACTCCGTTCTCTTCCATAGGCGTCCTTCTTTCTTCCTTTTTATGGTTTTGTACCCGCCGTAACTGTTTTCCACACATCAAATGTCTTCTGTTGTTACCTTCATAAAACTTCTCGCGTTGCTCCCTTTTCTATACGCCTTATACTTCCTTAACAGTTATAGTCTTCGCTAGCTCCCTCGGTAGAGGCGCCGTCCCCCCACTCCACCATCGCGCCGGTTACTTGGTTCAACTCCGCACCTGGTCACTACCCTAGTAACTCTTCAACAAATCTTCCTGTCTCTTCTGCTTCTAGCCATCCTCGAGGTGCTCTCCGGTGCCAGTGCAGCTGTTCCTTTGTGTCGTTTACTAAACAATCATAATCATATTTCACCAAACTGTCATTTACTCGTCCTTCCTTTTCTCTTCCATTCCATTTTTCTTCCTAATGTTTCTTCACAGAGGCCATTTGCAAAAAATGACCTACTTGACATCTTCATCTTGCAAAAAGAAGTGATTCTTGGTTTCTTTCGAGAGGGTTCAATCATTTTCCACCGTTTTCTGCCTGTGTGGTCCTCTACGTCATGCAGGATTTGCTTCTGATTCTGCACTAATTTTGACATTATTTCACTCTTTTCTACTTATGACTAAACTTCTGGTTTTCTCTTTTTTCTAGCTTTTAAAATTTCTGATTTTTCAGATTTT